TACCAGGTCTAAAATAAGATGTGTAATGGCAATGGAAAGGTTTTATTTAAAAATGTCATTAGCACGTTGAGGATGTGGGAAGGGGAAACCAGGGAAGGCAAAATATGAGATGATTAAACTTGAGCTTTATGCTACCGGCAGAAAAAGTGAAAAGGTGAACCTGGTCTTTTGAAGGAATTTAGCAAAATATTTGTCTTGGCTTTCCTTTGTGCATTTGCTGAGATTGAAGGGACATGGAAAATTCCTTGGTCCAATAACAAATGCTTACAAGAAGAATAAGCATGGGGGGAGGGGACGGTCCCATGGTAGGAGTCCCCCTCCTATGTAGAGGACGGAGCACCCCTAAAGGGGAACTGCATTGACAGAGACGTATCGACCAGCTGTGGAGAGTCCACTGTGACCAGGGGAGGACTGACCATTTGGAAACTCAGGCACTGCCCGAGGGCCCGGGGTCAGTAGGGGGCCCCCATGAGATGCCCCTGGTACCTTTTTCATAGGCTTTTTTGAGTTTGGGCAAGGACACAGGGGCCCCTTGATCCCCTATTGCCCGGGGGCCCCATGAGTTGTCAGTCAGTCCGCCCCTGACTGTGACCATAAATGATCTAATCTGATAGAACAACTTCCTGTAGATCTAGCAACACATTTGAGGAGGGCAGAAGGTGAATGGATTGCTGAACCAAAGCTACTCATTCTAATCACATAAAGTGCTAACAGTCCATCATGGTGCAATATTTCATAACCCCGTAATGCAGGCCATAGGCGGGTCGAACAATGGCCGATTTTTCGAAAAAAAAAAACAAAAAAACGAAAAATCGGTCGTTCGTTTGGCTGACGTTACCACCAATGGTTAACAAAATTGGCCGACAAAATCATAAAGTTCCCCCCATAACTTCTGTCCCTTGCAGATCACGGCTCATGCGCGGATTTTTTATCGGTAAAACAATCGCCCGATTTACCCATCATTGCCGGGAATATCAGCCGATCGTCAAAATCGGCCGCAAATTTTTTACCAAGACCAATAAAAAAAATGCAAAAAACCCGAAAAATGGCCGAGCAATTAATGCACTAGCAGTGCGAAAATTGTCCGATTTTTTTTTTTTTTTTTTCGGCCGAAAAATCAACTGATTTTCGACCCGTTTATGGCATAAGAGATATTGGGCTTGCTTTTCTTAAACTGGAGAGTGCAAAATCTGGTGCAGCTCTGCATAGAAACCAATCAGCTTCCAGGTTTTAGCCCCCGATCACATCAAGCCTGACTTTGAAATCACGCGACTTACAGTGAAGTCACATGATTTCAAAGTCGGTGGCTTGCCAATTTCCGGCGCGATTTCCAAGACATCTGACACAGTTGTCTATGCAAATCGCACCAAAAGCAGTGCATGTACTGCTTTAGAAATTGGTGACCGCTCCAATTGTGGACAATAGGCTGCGAGTTGGCAAATGCGATTTTCAAGTCATGCAAATCACATGCCAAATCGCATCCAGTGTGACCGGGGTGTAATTGTCAAAGCTTGACTGAACAAGCTGAAGTTAGAAGCTGAATTGGCGACCATGCAGAGCTGCACCGGATTTTGCACTCTCCAGTTAAAGTAAATCATCCGCAATATCACAAAATAAAATATGAAGCAATATCCACTCAAAGTGCGACTTGTGTGCAAAACAGTGCTAAGTGATCAAATCAAGTCCAAATCTGACACAGGCTTCCCCAAGATGGCGTTCAGAGCCCATAACATACACGGCTCAAAACAAATGAAAGGAACACTTTGAAAACACATCAGATCTCAATGGGGAGAAATCTCCTGCTGGATCTCTATACTGACATGGACGGGTAATGTGTTAGGAATGTAAGGATGCCCCATCGTTTATGGAAATGAAAATGATCGACCTACAGAGGACTGAATTCAAAGACACCCGAAAATCAAAGTGAAAAAATGATGCAGCAGGCGAGTCTATTTTGCTGAAATGTCATTGCAGCAACTCAGAATGGTCCTCATAGTTTGTATGGCCCCCCACGTGCTTGTATGCATGCCTGACAACGTCGGGGGAGGCTCCTAATGAGATGACGGATGGTGTCCTGGGGGATTTCCTCCCAGATCTGGACCAGGGCATCACTGACCTCCTGGACAGTTGAGGTGCAACCTGGCGGCGTCGGACGGACCAAAACATGACATCCCAGAGGTGTTCTATTGGATTTAGGTCAGGCGAGCGTGGGGGCCATTCAATGGTATCAATTCCTTTATCCTCCAGGAACTGCCTGCATACTCTCCTCATTGTAGTGCACCAGGAGGAACCCAGGACCCCACTGCACCAGCGTAGGGTCTGACAATGGGTCCAAGGATTTCATCCCGATACCTAGTGGCAGTCAGGGTGCCATTGTCTAGCCTGTAGAGGTCTGTGCATCCCTCCATGGATATGCCTCCCCAGACCATCACTGACCCACCACCAAAACGGTCATGCTGAACCATGTTACAGGCAGCAGAACGTTCTCCGTGGCTTCTCCAGACCCTTTCACGTCTGTCACATGTGCTCAGGGTGAACCTGCTCTCATCTGTGAAAAGCACAGGGTGCCAGTGGTGGACCTGACAAGTCTGGTGTTCAATGGCAAATGCCAATCCAGCTCTATGGTGCCGGGCAGTGAGCACAGGGCCCACTAGAGGACGTTGGGCCCTCAGGCCACCCTCATGAAGTCTGTTTCTGATTGTTTGGTCAGAGACATTCACACCAGTGGCCTGCTGGAGGTCATTTTGTAGGGCTCTGGCAGTGCTCATCCTGTTCCTCCTTCCACAAAGGAGCAGATGCCGGTCCTGCTGATGGGTTAAGGACCTTCTACAGCTCTTTCCAGCTCTCCTAGAGCAACTACCTGTCTCCTGGAATCTCCTCCATGCTCTTGAGACTGTGCTGGGAGACACAGCAAACCTTCTGGCAATGGGACGTATTGATGTGCCAGCCTGGAGGAGTTGGACTGCCTGTGCAACCTCTGTAGGGTCCAGGTATGGCCTCATGCTACCAGTAGTGACCCTGACCCTAGCCAAATGCAAAACTAGTGAAAAACAGTCAGAAAAGATGAGTAGAGAAAAAAATGTCAGCGGCCTTCACCTGAAAAACCATTCCTGTTTTGGGGGTTGTCTCATTGTTGCCCATCTAATGCACCTGTTGTCAATTTCATTAACACCAAAGCAGCTGAAACTGACTAACAACCCCCTCTGCTACTTACCTGACCAGATCAATTTCCCAGGAGTTTCATCGAGTTGATGCAATACTCTGATTTAAAAGCCTTCCTTTAAATTTTTTTCAGCAGTGTATGAGTCCTATACTGGGCACTAACTTCACAACTTCCCAGCTGCTTTGGTCTGATTTGCCGAGTTGAAGATGCTGACCATCATCCTTCCAGCTCGCCACCCCGGCCAATCAGTGGAAACCTTGTAGCCACTGATAAAAATTCAAGGCTTCTCCTGAATGGCTGAGAAGCATTTAGGCCAACTCGGTTTTGTTCCAGCAGCATCCTGACCCCTGTCCTCTGCCCTGCCAGCAGTGACTCGTGTCCTCTGTCCTGCCAATGGTAACCCCTGTCCTCTGCCCTGCCAAAGGTGACCCCTGCCCTCTGCCCTGCCAAAGGTAACCCCTGCCCTGCCAGCAGTGACTCCTGTCCTCTGCCCTCCCAAAGGTGACCCCTGTCCTCCCAAAGGTGACCCCTGTCCTCTGCCCTCCCAAAGGTGACCTCTGTCCTCTGCCCTGCCAGCAGTGTCCCCTGTCCTGTGCCCCACCAGTTGTGACCCCTGTCCTATGCCCTGCCAGTTGTGACCCCTGTCCTATGCCCTGCCAGTTATGACCCCTGTCCTCTGCCCTGCCAGCAGTGACCCCTGTCCTGTGCCCCACCAGTTGTGACCCCTGTCCTCTGCCCTGCCAGTTGTGACCCCTGTCCTCCGCCCTGCTGACCCCTGTCCTCAGCTCTGCTGTCCCCTTTTCTCAGCTCTGCTGACCCCTGTCCTCTGCCCTGCCAGCAGTGACCCCTGTCCTGTGCCCCACCAGTTTTGACCCCTGTCTTCCGCCCTGCTGACCCCTGTCCTCAGCTCTGCTGTCCCCTTTTCTCAGCTCTGCTGACCCCTGTCCTCTACCCTGCCAGCAGTGACCCCTGTCCTGTGCCCCGCCAGTTGTGACCCCTGTCCTCTGCCCTGCTGACCCCTGTCCTTAGCTATGCTGTCCCCCATTCTCAGCTCTGCTGACCCCTGTCCTCTGCCCCACCAGTTGTTATCCCTGTCCTCTGCCCTGCCAGCAGTGACCCCTGTCCTGTGCCCCGCCAGTTGTGAACCCTGTCCTCTGCCCTGCTCACCCCTGTCCTCAGCTCTGCTGTCCCCTATTCTCAGCTCTGCTGACCCCTGTGCTCTGCCCTTCTGACCCCTGTACACTGCTCTGCTGACCTCCCATTCTTTGCCCCCCTTTTTTATTGCACTCCCACATCTAGATCCAGCCCTGGTCCCGGACTGTGTCCTGGAATCACAGCATCACCAATATTTCAGTTGCTGTTAATGTGTAATAACTAAAATAAAAGTATGAACTCAGGACAACATGGGCAGATTTCTGCATATTTGGTTGGCTGGATCTGAGTGTGACTGCCTGGATAATGGATGTGTCAAGTGTCAGCTGTGGGTGGGATTGAGGCAGGACTGTTCAGAAAGTGGGTGTGGTCTGGACAGGGCCACCCGGAAATCTAGGACTAATATGTTTGTAAGTATTTGGAAGTCTATTATAAATTCTTATTGTTGTCCATACCTTTCTATTCTGGTGACAACCACTGCCCCCATTTCCTCTATGGGTGTCACAGGGACAGGAAGTATGGGAAAATCCCCCCAACGGAGTCACAGGCAGGAATAAAAACCTGACAGAAATGTTAAATCTTCTCCGTATATTGAAAACCAACAAATGAATGTGGCTGGTGTTAGGCTTGTTTCATTACTGCCCCTCATGTAAGACTCAGTCATTTTTTATGCTTTTCATTGCAGGAAATCATCAGCTCCATTCTCCTCAGTGGGCGGATCGGCCCGGACATCCAACACGTAACCAGCTATGGCCTTCGCCTGAAACACTTGAAGTCCGATGAGATCCATTGGCTGCACCCCGACTTGACCGTTGGGGAGGTGCAGGAGAAGTATGAGTGTCTCCACCTAGAGGCGGAGTGGAGGTAAACATAAACCACAAGAGGCTGATGTGTGACAAGCAGTCCAGCAAGAACAGATCTTATTGTCCAAGGATGAATGAGGGGAATATATGGGCTGCCAGTGCTTGAAAATACCAACTTCCTGGCTGTAATACTGATCCTCTAAGCTGGCCATACATTTTTGCAGTCTGAATGTGCAATCTCTGTTCATTTTTTTTTTGATCTACCAGAACTATGTAACAGAATCCCTACTGAAGCAATCTAGCTGGGTAGTCTTTTGTACTACATAGTTGTTTGTAGATCTAAAGAAGATTGTTTTGTGTCAAATGCTGCTTTATGCATTGACATACCTCCACAGACCCGATCTGTCCAGACAGTCAGGGGTGTATTTATCACAAGGCAAACAAGGCATTTGCCTAGGGTGGCATTTTTCAGGGGGGGGGCAGCACTGCCCCTTAGAAGAAGGGACACACACGGCATGGGGACCTGGTGGGTTCCGAGAGATGCTGTGAGTTTCCTGACGGTGTATGCATAGCCCGGAGCTGTGAAGGTAAGTGTTTTTCTCTCTCTCTCGCCATGGGGGCTGGTGGCTGGTGTATGGGGGGCAGTGGTAGTGGAGGGCATGGGTGCTCTTGGTCAATATCGGGCTCTTTCTGCATGGGGGGGACCAATTTTTGTGTTGCCTAGGGCAGCACAAAACCTAAATACACCACTGCAGACAGGATAGTCACTTGCTGACGTTGCACTATCCACTGGCAGCTTCACTCAGGTTGAATCCAATGCAATTTTACTATAGATACCTGCAGTACAGAGGATGTTTCTCAGTCTTTTGAAGTGTAAGAAGACGGTGATTTTCTCTGCAAAGAATTAACAGTAAGGCTAGGTTCACACTGCTGCAATACGATTTTGATCTGACTTTTCAGTGCGATTATGTAGTGCTGCTCGGATGTAACTTGGATGCAACTTTGATGAGGCTTGTATAGGGACAAAATCACGCTAGAATCGCACCAAAGTAGTACAGAAACGTTTTCCAGAGTCGCATTGATGTGAACAGACACCACTGAAAAACAATGTGATTTCCTTTGTCGTGATTCAAGTCACATCTGAAATCACACTACTGTGAACTAGTCCTGAATGAGGGAACATGTAAGAAACTGGGGGAGTCTATCTACGACTGAACTAATTAGCACTAAACAGGAGGGCAGGACAGAGAATGAAAAAAAAAACCAAACAGGTAAACAAGCTGTAGTGACTCAAAACCACCGCTAGATGTCAGCATACATCAAACAAAGATGCAGTTCAATACAACACAGAAAAATACAACACAGGTTGTTTATTCAGATTGCAAGGTGTATACCAGAGTAAGCATTTTTTTTTTCCTGGTTGGAGAGATTTTCCTTCAATTCCTATTGCTTCCTGCCAGTGTGATAGGATTTAACCACTTGATCCTCCAGAGGATTTACCCCCCCTTAATGACCAGGCCTCTTTTTGCTACTCGGCGCTGCACTAATTCAACTGATAATTGCGCGGTCATGCAATGCTGCACCCAAACAAAATTTACGTCCTTTTTTTCACACAAATAGAGCTTTCTTTTGGTGGTATTTGATCACCTGTGCGCTTTTTATTTTTCACGCTATAAACAAAAAAAGGCCAAAAATTTTGAAGATAAACAGTATTTTTTACTTTCAGCTATAAAAAATATATAGTAAACTCGAAAGTTGGTTATAAATTTAGGCCAAAATGTATTCTGCTCCATGTTTTTGGTAAATAAAATCCCAATAAGTGTATATTGATTGCTTTGTGTGGAAGTTATAGCGTCTACAAACTATGGTATAAATACTGCAATTTACGCCATTTTTCTGCTATACAGCGCTGCGCTAGTTTAACAGACAATTGCGCGGTCATGCAATACGGTACATAAATGAAATTGACATTCTTTTTCCCCACAAATTGAGCTTTCTTTCGGTGGTATTTGATCGCCTGTGCGGTTTTTATTTTTTGCGCTATAAAAAAAAAAGGCTGACAATTTTGAGGAAAAAAAAACAATATTTTGGACTTTTTGCTATAAAACATGTCCAGTAAAAAAAAAAATGCAAAAATAAAATTTAGTCATAAATTTCTGCCAAAATGCATTCTGCGACATGTCTTTGCTACAAAAAACCCAATACGTGTAAATTAATTGGTTTACGTGAAAGTTATAGCGTTTACAAATGGCGGGAAAGATACTGGGATTTTTAGGGGTTTTTTTATACTAAAAATGGCGGTGATCAGTGAATTATGGCGGCTATCAGGGACTTATGGCAGCGACCAGCGACTTATGGCGGGACTGCGGTGGACATTCTGACATTGGGGGGTACTGACTTGGGGTCACTGACATCCCCAAAAACACTAATACAGTGATCAGTGCAAAAAAAAAAACACTGACACTGTACTAATGGCAATGGGGAGGAAGGGGTTAACTTTATTTTGCAGGGAAGGGTTATAGGAGTGAGGGGAGTGTTTTACCAGGGGGTGGGGGGGTGTACTGGGCGGGACAAGGCTGATCGAGAAAGAGAAACTGTTCTTTCTCGATCAGCTCATCCTCAAGCTGACAGGGAAGTGACAGACAGCACAGCTACTGCAGCTGTGCTGTCTGTCACTGTTTGCCGCCGATCGCCGGGAGATAGCCGCTAAGGAGCGGCGACTGACATCTGCGGCGATCGGTGGGACAAATAGGGCGGCGGCGTGCCTCGCGCGTGCCCCCTATTTGTTTACAAAATACATGTTTTAAAAGATGGTTTTGCCTGCGAGTGCCGCCCTGCCGCCGTATATGTACAGTGGCTGGGCGGCATGTAGTTAAGCACCTGAGACAGAAGTGTGCAGACCTGGACTTGTTACTTGACGTATGTAGGTTCCTAACAGGGGTGGACTGACAACTCATGGGGCCCACGGGCAATAGGGGATCATGGGGCCCCTGTGTCCTTGCCCAAACTCAAAAAAGCCCATGAAAAAGGTACCAGGGGCATCTCATGGGGCCCCCTACTGACCCGGGCCCTCGGGCAGTGCCGGAGTTTCTAAATGGTTAGTCCGCCCCTGGTTCCTAATCAGTAACTGGAACCATTAAAGGACAGCCAGAAAATTAGCATTTTAAAGCCCAACTCCGGGAAGTTTTTTATTATTAATATAGATCCCCAAACAGGATCCAAGAATAAACTTTTTAAGCCTCGGTACCTAATTGTAAATCCAGAGCTGTCTCCTGCAGTACTTCTGTTCTGCCATAAGATGTCTTGAGTCTTCCAGGTTGAATGACACCCATACTATGTGGACATGCTATGAATGTAGGGTGTCATGGCCCCTCCCTCTAAGGGGGTGGTACTATGGTACTATGGCTTCTTTTATAGTGCCTTGGGCAGAGAGTACTGCCTATAGCAATCTGCAGGGTATCACCGAAAACTGACACAGAAGAAGAAGACTATGTAATTGGGGCCTGAAGATATCAGAGAAAAGGTAAGTGGAGGAGGGGAGAGAGGAAATTGGGGATTTAGGGGGTCTGAGCCTTTAAAATGAAGCTGCCATGTAGCCTGTGTCATTGTTATCACAGACAGGTTCTCTTTATGTATTAATATGTCAGACATCCATGGCTCTCCTCTGTGTTGAATTGCCCTGACATGTTTGTTTCCATTCCCTCATTTCCAGATACGATCTTCGGATCCGCTACCTGCCAGATAATTACATAGAAAGTTTCAAACAAGATAAGACGACTTTGCTGTACTTCTACCAGCAGGTGAGATCTGAGTGTGTGTTGGGGGGGGGGCATCTTGGAAAGGAGGGGGCAAGGGGGGCGAGGAAAGGGCAGTAATCATCATAGCAACACAGATTTTTTACATAGTTTTCATCCAATGGGAAACCTGGAATTAGTAGTTTTTATTTCCTTCCTCTTTAAGGAGAAATACTTATGTATGAGCAAATCATTTGGGCTATTATTGTAATAGAGTGGGGGAGGGGTGGACAGCTCACCCCATCCGATTACTGACCTGCAACCCCCTCGACTGTTTACTGACCCGCACCCCAAGCATTTCCATCTGAAACTGTATGTAAAAAGTAAATATGCGAGCGCTATCTGAAAGAAAAATAGACGCTGAAACACCTAAAAAGCCAACCAAACAAACCTTCCAATGCAAATCTCAATATGAAGGTGCAGCGCTAAAACTAAATATGCAGCATAAATCTCATCATTATTATAAGGAAATGAGAAGATGCAGTTTTAAACAATGTGCAGCATGAATAAGTTAGTCCCAGTGGCAGATGTTCAATGTAAATGAAATGCGCACTCACCAGAACTATACCTATTGAGATAGGTTACATGCACTTCTGGTGAGTGCGCATTTCATTTACATTGAACATCTGCCACTGGGACTAACTCTCCACGCATGCTTATCGGGATCATACAGGATCCTCACGTGGGCAATACATCTGGGACTTTTTTTGCACTTTACTCACCTATTGGTGACATCATTTATGCACATTTATTTGTTTATTTTCTTGATTGATCTGGTATTGCTGATTATCTATACCTACATACTGAGTATATGTTATCGATTTATTCATGCTGCACATTTTGTAAAACTGCATCTTCTCATTTCCTTATAATAAGGATGAGATTTATGCTGCATATTTAGTTTTTAGCGCTGCACCTTCATATTGAGATTTCCATCTGAAAGCTGACAGTTGGCTTGTAACATTCACGCTCATCCCCCGATACTTCCAATGCAGGGGCGGACTGACACCCCATGGGGCCCCTGGGCAATAGGGGATCATGGGGCCCCTGTGTCCTCGCCCACACTTAAACCACACCCAAAAAAGCCTATGAAATGTACCAGGGGAATCTCATGGGGCCCCCTACTGATCCCGGGCCCTCGGGCAGTGCCCGAGTTCCCAAATGGTCAGTCCGCCCCTGTTCCAATGTATACTATACGTTTGTGGCAGCAAAGGGGTTAAAATGGCACTAAAATGATGTTTCTGGTACAAAGCATAGGAATGGTTTTGTACGCATTTTCCTTGATATGCAACACTGAACAATGTAACAAACAAAAATGAACAAAAAAATGATTGCAAAGCAATAGAAAAAAAAAATCCGAAAAATAATAGCTAAGGGGAGAAGGGAAAGAGGGAGTTAATGAAGGCGGGTTAGGGCTGTCTACGGGGTTAAATGAGAAAATATTATCTTTTTATTAAAAAAAATCATTTAACTTGTAAGGTGTCTTTAAGTGATGTCATACATGGATGGAAGGTCACACCCTCTATATACACTATATTGCCAAAAGTATTGAGCCGCCTGCCTTTACACGCACATGGGCTTTAAAATCGGCCCCCCAGTCTTAGTCTGTAGGGTTCAATATTGAGTTGGCCCCGCCCTTTTTTACCGCAGCTATAACAGCTTCAACTCTTCTGGGAAGGCCGTCCACAAGGTTTAGGAGGGTGTCTATGGGAAGGTTGGACCATTCTTCCAGAAGCACATTTGTGAGGTCAGGCACTGATGTCGGGGGAGGAGGCCTGGCTCGCAGTCTCCGCTCTAATTCATCCCTAAGGTGTTCTAAAAGGAACTGGGGTTGAGGTCAGGACTCTGCAGGTTTTTCAGTCAAGTTCCTCCACCCCAAACTGGCTCATCCATGTCTTTATGGACCTTGCTTTGTGCACTGGTGCGCAGTCATGTTGGAACAGAAAGGGGCCATCCCCAAACTGTTCTCACAAAACAGTTGGGAGCATGAAATTGTCCAAAATGTCTTGGTATGCTGATGCATTAAGAGTTCCCTTTGCTGGAACTAGGAGGCCAAGCCCAACCCCTGAAAAACAACCCCACACCATAATTCCCCCTCCACCAAACTTTATACTTGGCACAATGCAGTCAGGCAAGCACCGTTCTCCTGGCAACCGCCAAACCCAGACATGTCCATCGGATTGCCAGACAGAGAAGCGTGATAGGTCACTCCAGAAAACACGTCTCCACTGCTCTAGAGTCCAGTGGCGGCGTGCTTTACACCACGGCATCCGACGCTTTGCATTGCACTTGGTGATGTAAGGCTTGGATGCAGCTGCTCGGCCATGGAAACCCATTCCATGAAGCTCTCTACACACTGTTGTTGTGCTAATCTGAAGGTCACATGAAGTTTGGAGGTCTTTAGCTATTGACTCTGCAGACAGTTGGTGACTTCTGCACACTGTGCACTTCAGCATGCGCTGACCCCGCCCTGTCATGTTACGTGGCCTACCACTTGGTGGCTGAGTTGCTGTTGTTCCCAGTTGCTTCCACTTTGTTATAATCCCACTAACAGTTGGCTGTTAAATATTTAGTAGCCAGGGAAATGTCACGGATGGACTTATTGCACAGGTGACAACCTATCACGGGACCACGCTTGGAGTCACTGAGCTCCTGAGAGCGACCCATTCTTTCACAAATGTTTGTAGAAGCAGTCTGCATGCCTAAGGGGCTTGATTCTCTAAACCTGTATCCATGGAGGTGATTGGAACATCTCAATCACATGATTTGGAAGGTGGGCCCATTACTTTTGGCACTATAGTGTATGAATGGAATAGTAAATACAATGTAACAGTTCATTGTTACATTACCTTTACTCTATGACAGTTGTAGACTATCTGTAAGTGTCATTTTACACAGTGGCTGCATTCTGACAGCCGGTAATTTCTGGAAATACTGGCTGGGTGATGCAGAGCATAAGAAGTGCGTTTGGCAGTAGGCGGGTCCTGAATGCTGGAGAAAGTGGCGCCCACGTAGTGACGTAACAATACCCTCTGTAGCATTCCCCTGTCAGTCCAGGGCTCAGTAAAGTATATCTTTCATTACATTTTCTAGCATGTCCAATTGTTATTTTTCATTATTTTGTTGGTGGATAATGGTGTCTATAGGTAATGATGAAACATTGTATAGATGGGGGCTCGAAAAATACCTCCTCTAGGGTCCAATTTCATGTACAAGATGCAGTGATGATGCAATGCTGACCTCCTGTGGTTAGGAGAGGAATTGTACATTAAAGGGTCAGTCCACTAAAGTCTGATTTTTCACTGTTTAGTAAATGCTGGAGAGCTAAACTACCTGACAGTGTCATCTGTCCCTCCGGAACAGGAGTTCCTGTGCCTGTACAACTGCTGTACCCATTATGAGGGGTTCCCACCATCCCTGTGCTGAGTTCCCAGGTCTGTACAACTGCTGTACCCATTATGAGGGGTTCCCACCATCCCTGTGCTGAGTTCCCAGGTCTGTACAACTGCTGTACCCATTATGAGGGGTTCCCACCATCCCTGTGCTGAGTTCCCAGGTCTGTACAACTGCTGTACCCATTATGAGGGGTTCCCACCATCCCTGTGCTGAGTTCCCAGGTCTATACACCTGCTGTGCCCATTATGAGGGATTCCCACCATCCCTGTGCTGAGTTCCCGGGTCTGTACACCTGCTGTTCCCATTATGAGGGGTTCCCACCATTCCTGTGCTGAGTTCTCAGGTCTGTACACCTGCTGTGCTCATTATGAGGGGTTCCCACCATCCCTGCTCTGAGTTCCCGAGTCTGTACGCCTGCTGTGCCCATTATGAGGGGTTCCCACCATCCCTATGCTGAGTCCTGGGTCTGTACACCTACTGTGCCCATTATGAGGGGTTCCCACCATCCCTGTGCTGAGTTTCCGGGTCTATACACCTTCTGAGTCCATTGTGAAGGCTTCCCACTTTCTTGTGCTGAGTTCCCGTGTCTGTACACCTGCTGTGCCCATTATGAGGGGTTCCCACCATCCCTGTGCTGAGTTCCCAGGTCTATACACCTGCTGTGCAAATTATGAGGGGTTCCCACCATCTCTGTGCTGAGTTCCCTGGTCTGTACACCTGCTGTGCCCATTATGAGGGATTCCCACCATCCCTGTGCTGAGTTCCTGGGTCTGTACACCTGTTGTGCCCATTATGAGGGGTTCCCACCATACCTGTGCTGAGTTCCCGGGTCTGTACACCTTCTATGCCCATTATGAGGGGTTCCCACCATCCCTATGCTGAGTTCCTGGGTCTGTACACCTACTATGCCCATTATGAGGGGTTCCCACCATCCCTGTTCTGAGTTCCTGGGTCCCACCATCCTTCTTTGATTTTTATGTATATGATAGTATAAAGATGATAACAGAAGGAGTCAGAACACACAGGTGAGCAGGAACACTCCGCTCTTACATTCAGGAACTATGGCCAGATGTCACTAGAGAAGTATCCAAGACATATATGAGGTCATTCCACTGGACTACGGCTTTCACTGAACTATTTTGGTGGACTGACCCTTGTTGGTAACACCGGAATTAGTCCTGTTTCTTGGTATGTACATACAGGCACAGGGCAGTAATCCATTGCAAGGGCATCAGAGTTTAGTTTGCTGAAGTTATATGCAAGAAAGGTGACATCTGATTGGCTGACTTATAATTTGGACATTGGTCATGACATCCAAGGTTGTTAAATGGTTAATCAGTATCACTTCTCTATGATTCCAGCTGAGGAATGACTACATGCAGCAATACGCCACCAAGGTCAGCGAGGGCATGGCGCTGCAACTGGGGTGCCTGGAGCTCAGGTAAGGAGACTCATGATATTCCATTGTCATCGTCTTCATGTCATTGGGCTAGGAGGAGATCAACGTCCACCTAGATGCCATCTAGACCTTGGACGCCATCGAGACACCTAAACCTAGGTCTACCAGTCAAACATTTCATGAGTTTTATTCTAGAGATGGTGGGGGTGCAACTACAAATCATAGGGGCCCTATAGTAAAATTTTGATGGGGCCTCTTTTTGAAACCAAGGCAATACAACATACCCAAATATATTCCCCTTTCACCATTGGTGAAACAGTTTATACTGGGGACTTAATATTCTATATCAGCCTTTCTCAACCATTCCAACACAGAGGAACCCTTTAAATAACCTTCCGATTTCAGGGAAACCCCGCTAAAATTTACTATAACCAAAGCTCATTAGTGTGATGGTGGTGGACATTGGGAAGAATTCCCTCTTATAGATAGCTAAAAAGATTATTGGTATCAGTGCGAACTTATCTGAGAGGCAGAAGTTGCTCATCGCTCAAGGAACCCCTAGGACCCTCTGGAGGAACTCTATGGTTCCATGGAACCTTGTTTGAGACAGGGGGGGACTGACAACTCATGGGGCCCCCGGGCAATAGGGGATCATGGGGCCCCTGTGTCCTCGCCCACACTCAAATCACACCCAAAAAAGCCTATGAAAGGTACCAGGGACATCTCATGGGGCCCCCTACTGACCCCGGGCCCTCGGGCAGTGCCCGAGTTCCCCAATGGTCAGTCCGCCCCTGGTTTGAGAAACTTTGCTCTATATTATCCTTAATATAAACCCTTACAACGTTCAGGGAGAGAGGTCAGAGTTTCCAGAGGTTAGTGCGGGAATACGGAATGAGGACAAGGTCTAAGAGAAGAGGTAGGCTGCTATACATAGAGACCTCTAACCAGAGGCGGACTGACAACTCATAGGGCCCCCGGGCAATAGGGGATCATGGGGCCCCTGTGTCCTTGCCCAAACTCAAAAAAGCCTATGAAAAAGGTACCAGGGGCATCTCATGGGGCCCCCTACTGACCCCGGGCCCTCGGGCATTGCCCGAGTTTCCAAAGGGTCAGTCCGCCCCTGCCTCTAACCTAAACAGTGGTGTCCCCATTCCAAATTTAGTGTTGTTGGGTCAGCCTCAGCCTGAAATGATAGTTCTGCTTTCTACAGCTTTTCCCTTAAGTTCAGGTTATCGTTCACTTGCCTGATGCTGGTGTAGGTCCCTGACAATAGAAAATCCAATAACTTGGGTTACGAATATTGATATTACCCCCCACCACTTGGAGGTTTATTACCATTGGTGCATGCTGGTGAGGGGTATAAATACTTGGGGGACCCTTTTCACCTAACAGGCTTTTCCTGCTGAGGGTGTGTAGCTGGTCTGCTGACCTCCCAGGTCTGCGGTCAGGGGAGGGACATGTGTCTGTGAAGGGTAGGTGCAAGCCTAGGGCCTGACCAGAGGTGTTGCCCAGGAGAAGTGGGCAACATTTTGGATTGGAATACCAGTGAGCTACTTATGCAGGCCATAGACGATTCGTTTATTGGCCTGATTTTTCGTCCAAAAAATTAAACAACGTTCATTCTGTAAACCCATGTTGCCACCAGTGATTGCGAAAATCGTCCATTTTTCACAAATTTTCCAGCATGACCGATAAACGAAATGAGGAGGAACCGCGAAAATCGGCCCGATGCCATTGCCCCACTAACAGTGTGAAAATCGGCCGATTACTCTTTTGGACGAAAAATCGGCCGATAAATGAACCCTCTATGGCCTGCATAAGTCTGCTGGAGAGTGAGGCAAATATTTATTACAGGTACTTATATAGCACCATCAATTTATGCAGCGCTTTGCATATATATTGTACATTCACATCAGTCCCTAACCCTCAAGGGGCGTACAATCTAAGGTCCCTAACTCACATTCATACATACACATACTAGGGACAATTTTAGAAAGGAGCCAAATAACCTCCCAACATGTCCTTGGAGTGTGGGAGGAAACTGGAGTACCCGGAGGAAACCCACAGGGAGAATTTACAAACTCCAGGCAGGTGGTGCCATGGTTGGGATTTGAACTGATGACCCTAGTGCTGCACAGTGGAAATGCTAACCATTTAGCCACTGTGCTGTCCTGCTGTTACTCCAGTTGGCAGCTAGATGGCCTAATTCCTATGGTACTTAGCACTGACTAGTGACCGAATGCAGTATTTTCAGTTTTAAATCAATGAAAAACATTCGACCACCACAGGAAATAGCCTGATAACATTTTTTTTAATGAATGTACTTGCACTTTCCCTTGGCCAATTGTTATGCAAATCTGTTATAAATACACCCCTTAGTGACCTTTCTAATCCCTGCTATCTTTTACATATCGGGGCCGCTAGTGGCTCCTACATTGCCTACTAATCCAGTTGGATCCAAATTTTTCCTATATTGAATCTAGCACTATCTTGTGGCCAGAAAAGGGAGCTGCTCCAGGCATGCCTGTACCCTACCCTAACGTCCTTTTCTGTATCGAGCTGTAAGTGCGTTTTTCAGAGTCTGCATTTTGCTCTTTTGGTTTGGGTGTCCTGGGCCTCTAATCCTCTCTCCCTGGAGAACAGTAACCTGCTCTATTTGCACAGAATGAATGTAAATACACTTTCACTGGGCGAATTGCTACGCAAAGCTGTTTATAAATACCCCCCCCCCCCTCCCCGTGACCCTTCTATCACTGCTGTCTTACGTATGGGGACCCCTATTGGTTCTTAGGGCACCTACATTGCCTATTAATCCCAGTGGTGCTGCACCTATCATATAATGAATCTATCGCCATTGTGTGGCGAGAGAAGGAAACTACACTGGGCATATCCATGCCCTACCTTGCAGTCCTTTTTTTTTGTTTTTGTTTTTACGGGCTGTTACTGGTTTTTTGGAGTCTCCATATTGTTCTTTTGGATGTCCCGTACACTAACCCTCTCTCTCTGAAGTTTATTGGCATGAATAAACTTTGTGAACTGTTCAAAAGAGACTTGTGCCCATCTGTTCATACCCACATGGAATAAAAATATATTTGAAATATATTTTAAAAATATTCTTCCCCAAATATATTACCATATATACTTGAAATGCTACAATTTTGATCATATTCAATATATTTAAAAATATATTTCAATAAATATATATAAATCTGAAGAGTTTAAAAAATATATTTTATTTAAGTATATTCTTCAGAATTTGTATTTTTAAAAACATACAGTATATTTGAAATGCATTTTTAAAAATATTTTTCATCTATTTGGTAATAAAAACGCATTTCAACATGTAGTATATATATATATATATATATATATATATATATATATATACTACATGTTGAAATGCGTTTTTATTACCAAATAGATGAAAAATATTTTTAAAAACACATTTCATACATACTGCATGTTTTTAAAAATACAAATCTACATTTTTGGACTGCATTTACAAATATATGTAAAAATATATGTTAAAATGACTTTTTTACATGTTAAAAAAATTCTGAAGAATATATTTAAAAAATATATATATTTAAAAAATTTTAAGATTTATATATATTTATTGAAATATTTTTGAAATATATTGAATACGGCCAAAATTGTAGCATTTCAAATAAATGGCAATATATTTGGCAAGAATATTTTTAATATATATATATATATATATATATATATATATATATATATATATTTTTTTATATACAGTGAATAGTATAATGTGTGTGTGTATGTGTATATATATATATATATATATGGGCAGCACAGTGGCTAAATGGTTAGCACTTCTGCCTGGCAGTAGTTGGTTTGAATCCCAGCCACAGCACCACCTGCCTGGAGTTTGCATGTTCTCCCTGTGCTTGCGTGGGTTTCGTCCGGGTACTCTGGTTTCCTCCCACACTCCAAAGACATGCTGGTAGGTTAATTGGCTCCTGTCTAAATTGTCCCTAGTATGTGTATGTATAAATGTGAGTTAGGGACCTTAGATTGTACACCCCTTGAGGGTTAGGGACTGATGTGAATGTACAATATATATATGTAAAGCACTGTGTAAATTGACGGCGCTATATAAGTACCTGAAATAAATAATAATAAAAAAAAAAAAAAAAATATATATATATAGGCGTACCTCAGTTTAGGAACACCTCGGTTACCATAATTTTTGGTTTACGAATGAAAACCCATTGAAAATAACGGCTCGGTTTATAAATTTTTTTCGCAATATGAACGGATTAATTGCTTTGCAATGCATTTACAATTTTTTTTATCCTGTACAGTACTATGCCTTTACAGTGCACTTTATAAAGAGTTTTGAACAGATAAAAGACTTTTTTTTACCCTTTTCTGACCTCCGGAGCGGGTTAATTGGTTTTCAGTGCATTCCTATTGGAAACCTCGTTTCCGTTTTTGAATTATTTGCAATACGAAAAGTCCCGCAAAGCGCATTAAATTTGTAAACCGAGGTACGCCTGTATGTGTATATATATATCTATATTTTTTATACAGTATATATATGTGTGTATGTGTATGTATATATATACACACACACATATTTATATATATATATATATATATATATATTACCAATAACATTTTAAATCTTACAATACGAAATCCCATTTTGATGGCACTAAACACCATCTCCTGTTCGTCTTACAGACGTTTCTACAAGGACATGCCGCAAAACGCTTTGGAGAAAAGATCCAACTTTGATTTCCTAGAGTAAGTAAACACAGACACAAGTCACTGGTGGAATCTTTGAAGCTTCTTGGAATCCAGCAGAAGAGAGACGTAATGGCCTCTGGGTATTGTCACATTTGTAATGCTGCATTGTGTGGTTTGTTCCAGCAGCGCCCACACACTTCCTGTGACAGTGACACGCATCGAGTGTTCTCTCCTCTCTCCTACCTGTTTTAGAAGCGGTTTCAGCGCTCTCCAACCTCATGCTAGACTCCAGGCAGAACGTCATTTCCAGTGAAGCTGAACCCCCAGCTTACTGAGATGACAGCGTTGTAGCACAAAGTATGCATGCAAAGTACATGCCCCCTGCACAGCTGATCTACCACTGGACCACTGATCCTGGACTGAAATGGCTTACTCTGAGGTTAATGCACACTGTGAGCTTCTCACAACGTGCATTGGAGGCTGCAGTAAGCCAGATAGAGCACCGCCTCATTTCCTGGCTGAATGGCTCCCGGCATCATCTAGCGCTTTCCTCCACAGTCTAACCATCCCTTGCCTGCCCCTTTCATTCACTGGATTTTCATTTCAATCATATATGCTCAGCACCACATGTGAGTGGTCACAGAGGTGGTGGGGTCGGCATGCTCCTGTCACCACTGAGCACCTTCCAGGTCCTCCCTGACCCCCCCCTCAATCCTTCTCCTTCGAGGCCCACTGCATCCGGCTCTTCTCTCCCCATCCTCTAACTCCCCCCCCCAAAGCGTCAAACCATCACCAGCCATAGCCTCTGCAACCTGAACCCGGCCCCTCTCCACTAGGCAGCTGACCGTCTGTACGACAGCATCCTTCCACTGACATGCCCTGACCTGGCCACTACTGCGTACAACGACTCACTGTCAGCTGCCCTAGACTCCCTGGCACCCCTAACCACACGTAGCATTAGACCCCGACTGCTTCAACCCTGGCAGAATGACCATACAAAATGTCTCAAACGATGCAGTCGCACGCTGGAGCGATTATGGCGCAAAGCAGATCCCCTCGAGCGTTCTCCCTCTACAAATCCGCCTTCCTCACCTACACCTCCTCCCTCCACGCCACCAAGCAAGCCTACTTCGTAACCCTCATTAACACCCTCTCCACCTGTCCTCGCCGGCTCTTCTCCACTTTCAACTCCCTGCTCTCCCCCCCCCCCACCTCCACTCAGTACCTCACTCACCGCCCACGAGATTGCCAATCATTTCCAAAACAAGATTGACGCAATCCGTAAGGACATTGTTAATTCACAATCTACCTCTCCACCTAGCCTCCCTCCCTCCATCACCCCCTCAACTCTCCCCTCCTCTGACCTCACAACCGCACTGCCCCCCCACCACACCTAACAGCCTGTAACACTCTGCTCCTTCAGCCCTGCTACCATTGAGGAGGTCACTAAGGTCTTCTCAGAAGCCTGCATCACCACTTGCCCCCTGGACCCTATCCCCTCACAACTCCTCCGGTCACCCCCCTCCTCCAATCATTCGCTCCCTCACCCACATCTTCAACTCTCCTTCTCTACTGGCGCATTCCCCTCCCCCCTAAAGCACGCGCACATCACCCCCATACTCAAAAAACCCTACCTGGACCCCACTGACCTGAACAACCTTAGACCCATCTCCCTGCTGCCACTCACTTCCAAGCTCCTCACTGACAACAACCTCCTTGATCCACTACAGTCTGGCTTCCGTCCCCTACACTGCACCGAAACCGCCCTACTTAAAATCACCAACGACCTGCTAACCCCAAAGCTAATGGCCACTACTCAGTCCTCCTACTCCTCGACCTCTCCGCGGCCTTCGACACAGTCAACCACCCCCCCTCCTCCTTAATAAACTACACTCCCTTGGCATCAAGGACTCTGCTCTCTCCTGGTTCTCCTCTTACCTATCCCAACGCTCCTTCAGCATTACCTATAACTCTGCCACCTCCCCCTCTCTCCCCCTCTCTGTTGGGGTCCCCCAAGGCTCTGTCCTCGGACCCTTTCTCTTCTCCATCTACACCTCCTCCCTTGGCAAACTGATACACTCCCACGGCTTCAACTATCACCTCTATGCCAATGACACGCAAATTTACCTCTCCACCCCTCACCTCACCCCCTCAGTCTCCGCCCGCATCACCCACCTCCTATACGACATATCAGACTGGATGTCGCTCTATTTTTTCTCAAGTTAAACCTTTCCAAAACCGAGCTCCTAGTTTTCCCCCCAGCCTGCGCCCCCCCCCCCCCCCATCCTCTCCATTACGACTAACAACGCCACCATCAATCCCACCCCGCAAGCCAAAGTCCTAGGTGTCACCCTGGACTCAAACCTTTCCTTCCAACCTCATGTCCAAACACTATCAAATTCATGCAGGCTCCACCTCCGCAACTGCAAGATCCGTATCTCCAAGATACGCATGTTCCTCACCCCAGACACTACTAAATAACTCATACACTCCCTTATTATCTCACGTCTGGACTACTGCAACTCCCTTCTCACTGGCCTACCCCAACACAGGCTATCCCCGCTCCAGTCTATCCTGAACTCAGCGGCTAGACTCATCCACCTTACCAACCGCTCCACTTCTGCCACCCCCCTCTGTCATTCCCTTCACTGGCAATCCGATTGCCCAACGCATTAAATTCAAATTACTAACTCTGACATACAAAGCCATTCATAATACTGCCCCAAACTACCTCACCGACCTGATACCCAAATACCACCCAACCCGTACTCTTTGCTCTTCACAAGACCTCCTACTCTCTAGCTCCCTGGTCTCCTCCCACGCCCGACTGCAGGACTTCTCCAGCACTTCCCCCATCCTCTGGAACTCCCTACCCCAATCCAGCAGACTGTCACCTACCCTTCTCACCTTCAGGCGCACCCTGAAAACCCATCTCTTCAGGGAAGCCTACCCCACCCTCACCTAACAGTCATTCTCCTCCACTCCTCCTACCACTCCATCCCCCACAGCCACTTCCTCCTGTACCTCTACAACCTCCCTCCTAGATTGTAAGCTCCAAAGAGCAGGGCCCTCGAACCCCTCGTATATTGTATTGTTACTGTATTGTCTCATGTACTGTCCCCCCACTTTAATGTACAGCGCTGAGCAAACCTTTTGGCGCTATATAAACACTGTATAATAATAATAATAATAATAGGGAGGTTTGTATGCCAATACAGTCTTCCTAGGAATGCTCACTCCCTCAACCTGTCACCGGACCATCAAGGCATATTAATGTTTGCTCAACTCCTCCCACGAGCCAGCCTACTGGTTACATCAGGGCTCTTGAGAGACGTTCGGAGGCATTGCTTCTCTATGCAATGCAGGCAGATCATGGCTGGTGGGAGGGGTTGGCAGAGTACTGTACAAAGCTTCCTAAAAATATCACCCTGCCAATCCCTCCCACCAGCCATGATCTGCATTGCATAGGGAAGCACAGGGTCCCAGTGATGACATCACTTGCTCTATTATATGGTATGCAATGATAATGAAAAGGTGTCCTTTTGGCATGTTATTGGGTGGGGGCAGGAAAACAAAACATAAGTCTGAACTTCAGCTTTAACTTAAAATTAATTTTTACTTCTTTTCTTGTTGCCATTAAAGAGATTCCCCTTGACTGCCTACCCTAGGGATATCCTTTGTACCAAATAGAAAATGAAGGAATCTCTCCAACAGCGTCTCTGTTGACAGTGAAACCTGACAGCAGTTCCAATGCTTAATGCATCATTACATTTTTTTTTAATGTAAGCAATGTAAGGACCTGAATTTGATTGCTGTACAGCAGAGCTCAGAAATAAGCCGCACAAGGAGCCGATCAGATCATGTGCTGACAAGGAGCATGCTGATAGGAGAGTGAGCAAATTGACAGAGAAATTAGCTCATCGGTCTGTTGCTTCTCCTTCACTGTCCAGTCACAGTGTGGGGGGCGGGTCCATGACAGCCTAGGCTCAGCAGTAATGAGTAGAATAATGCTGGCTGTCATTAATCATGAAGACTGAGGACATCTAGTGATAGAAAAGAAGTACTGCATGGGGCGGCACTGGATTGAAGGTGAGTATTGGAGCAAAACGTTTTTTAATTTATCTTTTTTATTACTTTTATCTGGATCTGTCCTTTTGAATTTTTCGGTTTTACAGCCATTTAAGGTAAAATTTATCCAATGTTCATTTTTTGTTGTTGGCAGGAAAGAAGTGGGTCTTGATCTCTTCTTCCCTAAGCAGATGCAGGAAAGTTTAAAGGTAATAAAATTCACACAGTATACAACTAGGATACTTCTAAGGGTTTCAGACTTCCTATGTGTGGGTGAACGGTGAGATATGCAGACAAAAAAAGCATTTTTACGGCAATTAGTGTTGCACAGCCCTAGTTGACCCCTTATATTTTATTAGTCTATTAGTCTAACACAGTCACACAAGTAACATACACTATTTTGCCAAAAGTATTGGTCGGCCTGCCTTTACACACACATGAACTTTAATGGCATCCCAGTCTTAGTTCGTCGTAGGGTTCAATATTGAGTTGGCCCGCCCTTTGCAACTATAACAGCTTCAACTCTTCTGGGAAGGCTGTCCTAAAGGTTTAGGAGTGTGTCTATTGGAAGGTTTGACCATTCTTCCAGAAGTACATTTGTGAGGTCAGGCACTGATGTCGGATGAGAAGGCCTGGCTCGCAGTCTCCACTCTAATTCATTCCAAAGGTGTTCTTTCATGTTAAGGTCAGGACTCTGTGAGGGCCATTCAAGTTCCTCCACTCCAAACATGCCCATCCATGTCTTTATGGACCTTGCTTTGTGCACTGGTGTGCAGTCATGTTGGAACAGGAAGGTTCCATCCCCAAACTGTTCCCACAAAGTTGGGAGCATGAAATTGTCCAAAATGTCTTGTTATGCTGACGCCTTAAGAGTTCCTTTCCCTGAAACGAAGGGGCAAGCCCAACCCCTGAAAAACAACCCCACACCATAATCCCCGCTCCACCAAACTTTACACTTGGCACAATGCAGTCAGACAAGTACTGTTCTCCTGGCAAACGCCAAATTCAGACACATCCATCGGATTGCCAGGCAGAGAAGCGTGATTGGCTATAGTTGACAGTTGGTGACTTCTGCGCATTGTGCTCTTCAGCATGCGCTGACCCCACTCTGTCATTTTACGTGGCCTACCACTTGGTGGCTGAGTTGCTGTTGTTCCCAGTTTCTTCCACTGTGCTATAATACCACTAACCGTTGACCATGGAATATTTAGTAGCAAGGAAATTTTACAGATGGACTTATTGCACAGGTGGCAACCTATCACGGTACCACGCTTGGAGTCACTGAGCTCCTGAGAGCGACCCATTCTTTCACAAATGTTTGTAGAAACAGTCTGTATGCCTAGGTGCTTGATTTTATACACCTGTGGCCATGGAGGTGGTTGGAACACCTAAATCCAATGATCATCTCAGATGGACCCTGAAGGGTTCAGCATCTTCTTGTTCCACCATCTCTTGGTGGCTTAAGAAGACCATCGTTCCAGTTTATAATCTCACGGATCTGGTTCGACCCTTTCCTGTCAAAGAGCACTGTATTAGATCAGTGAGTGCTTCTTGGGCTTTTCAGCATTTCTTAGATTTATGAGACTGCCACCTGATCTTCTGTCCACATCTTCTCTAAGTCAGCTTTGGGTGTAAGATTCTTCAGGTGGTTCTTTGAACTGCAGGCAGTTTTTGGTTCTCTGTTGTTTTCTTTGGCCTGCGGGCGATTGTTTGATGCGTGGCTCATCCCTCAGTTGGACTGCTTATAAACATCGGGAAGGTTATAGACTTCTTGTGTCCCTCAAATGATGTGAAGACAATAGGATTCTTGTGCTCACTGTAAAAGTCTTTGTGTATATGATCAAGCTCTTGATACTGCTTTGCTACAAAATTGTAGCATACTGGTTGCAGAAGGAGGTATCCTGGGCTTTTTTTTGTTTCCCAATGTCCAATTCTCTTGTAGGCAGCAATAGGCACTGTAGGCACAGTTCTCCAATCAACAAATCTTATGCTCCCTGAACAGCATTGTTGATTGGAGACAGGGTCATAACTAGGAAGGGGGGGTGCCTTGAGAGGGGGCCGCTGCTGTAACTGATCCTGTTTTTTCCCCTCCCATCCTGCTGATATTCAGCTGCTGCGGGAGGAAAATACAACAGACCGATAATAGAAAATGCCGCCCCATGCCCCTTCTTCTTCTGCTGCCTGTCCCCCCTTGTGCTCCCTTGGTCCTCCGCAGTGCTGCCAGCTCCCCTCCTCTCCTCTCCCGCTGGTTGCTGCAGGGGATCTATTCAGGATGGAGCAGGGCCAAAATTGTAGGGGAACGGAGGGGCATGTGCCCCTGGCACCGCATTGAGAGGGATGCCACCGCACTATGCAGAGGGTGTGTCAGACCACTGGAGATACAGACTGCTGTGCTCTATGTAAAGGCAATGGTGTAAATGTCCAGTATACAGTCTACAGAGGACAGCCTGATATATGAAAGGATCGATTTTCTTTATCCCCCAATCTGTGGAGAGATTCCTGGTTATCAGCAGAATTCTGGGAACACCCTATGAACACGGAATAACGGCAGTTTATGTTCAAAGATGTTCAAAGTTTATTAGAAATTACTAATGTTATATAGAGTACAGAACAGAATTAAAAAGGGAGGGGGAGCGAGTTTCAAAACTGCAATTTGTAACTTTCCATCATGAGCTGACTACATGAAACATGGATTATACATTTCCTAGTATAAACTGTTTTCTGCTAGCTTTCTGAGAATCAGCTGAACACAGAAAGCTCAGGGACATCTTATCGTTGTTTATACATCCTTGAGCAAACTGAAACAGTTACACTAAACTTCTAAAATTTCTGCAAAAACCTAACGTAATACTTAAAATGGCGTACATCAACAAAATGGAGGTTATCTAGATCCTTTCAATATATGCCTACAGGAATGGTGCATAATGAGAAAAAAGACTGGTATATATGCAGGTATATATGCAGGTATGCCTGCAATTAGATTAACAACACCAATGAAAAAAAAGTTAGGACTTGAGATGCCCTACATGCACATGTCCCGACAGAAACACGTTGACAGGAGGGAGAGCAAAGAGATGACCTTTTCAGCCTGTCTATGCTCCTTCATTCTCCAGTTGCAGGCTGAGGCTGGAGTGGTGACCTACCTTTGTTGCGTAACTGGTGCAGAGAAAAGTTGTTACCTCAGTTTTGTTTTAATTGCATGAATTTAGGAAGATCATAAGATCTGTGTCTCTGTTTTGTGCACAGCCCAAACAGTTCCGTAAGATGATCCAGCAGACGTTCCAGCAGTATGGCTCTCTGAAAGAGGAGGAATGCATCATGAGGTTCCTGGGCACGCTCTCCAGCTTCACCTCCATTGACCAAGAGACCTATCGCTGCGAGCTGGCGGTGAGTTCCTCCATGCAGCAACCAGACAATGCACTCGAAAGGGAACTGGGTTAGGAGAGAGATATGAAAGCACCTTATGAAAAAATGCTAACTGTAGGGCTGTCATACTAATTCTCTGGCTTCAGCATTTTCCGAATCACTGATCCAGCAAATTCAGACTCCAGGTGATTTTTCTGAATCAGTATCTTGGAAAGCATTGGAAACAGAAGAACAGTATAGCACAGACCCCTGTTTGGCTCTGCTAATCTGCCCCAGGTTCTCTTCCTAACTGGGTGTCCAAGCAGCCAGGTACACCACTACTCTGGCAGTTTCAACTCAATGACCAGGCAGGATGCCTTTTTATGCTTTAATGATGAGTGCAGGGTGAGCTTTGGGATACTCTGGATTTACAGAAACCAGAGGACACTCTCTGCCTTGTCTGCACTCTTCAGGATAATACCCCTCCCGGCAAACAATGGGGCAGTGTCAACCTTGGGACTCCAAGAAAAGGTAAGGCCCCAATCCAATGGCACTGGAGCAGATACCCAAGGGGTTAAAGTAGCAAACAGTCACTAGGATTCTATATCAAGGCCTATACTCACAATGTCCCGTATACTTGGATGAGGTGATGTATTTGGGTTTTGTGCTGCCCTTGGCCCCACCCCCCATGGAGAGAGCCTGACAACGACCAACACAAACTCATGCACCCCCACCGAGAGAGCCTTCCACCACCCCCCATACTTTCACCAACAACCCACCACTCCCCTACCTGGTGAGAGAGAGACACCTTCACAGCTCCAGACATCCCCATGAATGAGAGTCGGGCTCTGAATACACAGTCAAGCAGCCCACAGCCTCTCATGAATCCCACCTGGTCCCCATCTTTTGTTCCTTCTTCCGGGGGGCGGTGCTGCTTCCCTGAAAAATGGCATCCTAGGCAAACGCCTTGTTTCCCTGCTTGGATGCCTCCATCCAATATTGGCCAGACATTTCTCCTGTGAGTCACCAGGCTAGGTCCTCAGTGAATCCCCTTGATTTGGCTCCAACTGCTTCCAGAAAATTGGACCCCTGGCTCTCCCTGAGCAGGGACCTCGATGAACTCCTGCAAACTTCAGCTACACTGCCCAGAAGAGCAGCAACCCTTCAGGCTGGGATCTTCTCCTCCTGGAAAAGAACCTTGCTGCTCCAGGCCCCTGAGCTATTTATGCACTCGTCAGCCACCTACTGGGCACCCCCTTTCAGGGATTGTCTGAGATTGCATTAAATATTCAGGCCAAGGGTTTACTTCTTTCAATGTAAAGGCAAGGAGGAGTAGTTGAACCTGCAGGCAGTGAGACCCAGAACAGCCAAAAATAATCACACACACACCACTCCAGTGTATAAAAAGGAGCTAAGGAACTAGATTTACCTGAGCCTATCCAGCGACCTATTCTAGGAAGGTGCTATCCCAGTATAACAGCAGTGTAGCTTGTTAAGTATTTCTTCTGCCAAACTCTCAAAAAGAAGGCAAATGAGGTTCTGCTCTGCATTGTCGGCCCGATAATCAGCAATACTAGAGAAGGTCTTGGCTACAGTAAGGGGTCTATTTATAAAACATTTGTTGGACGAATGTCACAAGCATTTGTCCAGTCTGCATGAATTGCTTTTTTTTGTCGGCTCCAAAATGCGATATATTTTTCTGAAATTCCTCAATCAGCTAGATGGAGCTGACTATTCTCCAACAACTGTTTCCAAAAATAGGACCCTCTAGTGTTTGTGTGGAAACCTTTATCCTTCAGGACTTGGAATGTTCATCTTTGAATTATTTAATGGTACTAAAGGAAATTTGATAATGTGCAAGTAAAGCAATAGGAATCCCTTTAGATGATGGAATATTAAGCATTTATTGCTTTCTTTTACTAGCAAGGGTGGAGCATCACCGTGGACCTGGTCATCGGCCCGAAGGGAATTCGCCAGCTGACTACCAAGGACTCAAAGGTGACCCAAAATCCTCCACTGTATGTATAATGGGCCCTGGGAGGACAGAGGACACTATGCATGAATTCAAATAGAGGTTATGCACTGCTCCAAAAAATGAAAGGAACACTTTGAAAACACATCAGATCTCAATGGGGAAAATCTCCTGCTGGATCTCTATACTGACATGGACGGGGTAATGTGTTAGGAATGTAAGGATGCCCCATAGTTTGATGGAAATGAAAATGGTCGACCTACAGAGGACTGAATTCAAAGACACCCGAAAATCAAAGTGAAAATATGATGCAGCAGGCGAGTCCATTTTGCTGAAATGTCATTGCAGCAACTCAGAATGGTCCTCAGTAGTTTGTATGATCCCCACGTGCTTGTATGCATGCCTGACAACGTCAGGGGAGGCTCCTAATAAGACCATGGATGGTGTCCTGGGGGATTTCCTCCCAGATCTGGACCAGGGCATCACTGAGCTCCTGGATAGTCTGAGGAGCAACCTGGTGGCGTCGGATGGACCGAAACATGATATCCCGGAGGTGTTCTATTGGATTTAGGTCAGGGGAGCATGGGGGCCATTCAGTGGTATCAATTCCTTCATCCTCCAGGAACTGCCTGCATACTCTCCCCACATGAGGCCAGGCATTGTGTGTGCACCAGGTCTGGCAATGGGTCCAAGGATTTCATCCCGATACCTAATGGCAGTCAGGGTGCCATTGTCTAGCCTGTACAGGTCTGTGTGTCCCTCCATGGATATGCCTGCCCAGACCATCACTGACCCACCACCAATATGGTCATGCTGAACCATGTTACAGGCAGCAGAACGTTTTCCACAGCTTCTCCAGACCCTTTCATGTCTGTCACATGTGCTCAGGGTAAACTTGCTCTCATCTGTGAAAAGCACAGGGCGCCAGTGGTGGACCTGCAAATTCTGGTGTTCAATGGCAAATGCCAATCCAGTTCTATGATGCCGGGCATCGAGCACAGGGCCCACTAGAGGATGTCGGGCCCTCAGGCCACCCTCATGAAGTCTGTTTCTGATTATTTGGTCAGAGACATTCATACCAGTGGCCTGCTGGAGGTCATTTTATAGGGCTTTGGCAGTGCTCATCATGGTCCTCCTTGCACATAGGAGCAGATACCGGTCCTGCTGATGGGTTAAGGACCTTCTACGGCCCCGTCCAGCTCTCCTAGAGTAACTTCCTGTCTCCTGGAATCTCCTCCATGTTCTTGAGACTGTGGAGGAACACACAGTAAACCTTCTGGCAATGGCACGTACTGATGTGTCATCCTGGGGGAGTTGGACGGCCTGTGCAACCTCTGTAGGGTCCAGGTATCACCTCATGCCACCAGTAGTGACACTGACCCTAGCCAAATGCAAAACTAGTGAAAAACAGTCAGAAAAGATGGGTAGGGGAAAAAATGTTAGTGGCCTCCATCTGTAATACCATTCCTGTTTTGGGGGTCGTCTCATTAACACCAAAGCAGCTGAACCTGAATAACAACCCCCTCTGCCACTTAACTGACCAGATCAATATCCCAGGAGTTGATTGACTTGATACTATTCTCTGATTAAAAAGTGTTCCTTTAATTTTTTGAGAAGTGTAGATGGAGCAGAGTCCTCCAGCAGTGCAGAGTATTTCAGGAGAGGAGAGTTAGTTCCTCTGGATGCGCTTTGGTCCTCAGAATATATGGTTTATGGTCCATGTCATAAAACATGACTAAGGTCTCTTTGCCTCCACAGCCTACGTTCCTGGCAGAGTTCAAGCAGATCAAATCTATCAAATGTTCTCTGCAGGACGATAACCGAGCACTGCTACTGCTGGGGATCTCAGGGGCCCCTCAGGTAAGCTTTTCTACAACAAAAATGCACACATTACATCATCGCAATACATTCTAGCTGCTAGAAAGCAAGCGACTGGCCACGCATGCACAGTGCACACTCCTAGCCAGCCATGGCAGCCAGAGCAAAGGGGGCTTATGAATGAGCGCAGGGTGGTACTCCCATTCTATGACATGCATTGGTAACAGAGGAGGGGGCACATTTGTGCAACTTTGCCCTGGGCTCTGTCTGAACCTGTTCCTGTACTGGGTTCCAGTTTCTGAGAGTTGATTGGTCTCTCTGCAGAGGTCCAACACATCCCTTGCTGTGCCAGAGCTCTCTTCCAATCAGCAAAGCTCACACTTCCTGCAGACTGACTTGCAGGGGGTGTGTTGGACCTCTGCAGAGGAACCACTGCTTCCACACAAAGAGCAAGGGTCTTGTATGTGTCAAGTTATCGCTTTATCTGTGGATGTGAGGAGGCAATGCAGGAAACTAACACAAATCCTACACTGTTGTGTTTGTGGAGCAGCTAAACATCAAGACCCCTTCATTAGCCGTGGCTGAAAACATGGCGGACCTCATAGATGGATACTGCCGTCTCCAGAACGGGTCTACGGGGTCCCTTATTGTCTATCCTGGAAAAGGTGAGTGCACATGTAATGTATGGAGTCCATGGGGATCGCAATGCCAGCTGAGCCTGATGTTTCCAAATGTTACTTTTTGAGAGCACTTAATCCAGCCTATGTCTTCTGAAGCATGTCCCCAGTCTCCACCCTCTCCTATGACATGTCCCCAGTCTCCATCCTCTCCTATTACATGCCCCCAGTCTCCATCCTGTCCTATGACATGCCCCCAATCTCCATCCTCTCCTATGACATGTCCCCAGTCTCCATCCTCTCCTATGACATGTCCCCAGTCTCCATCCTCTCCTATGACATTTCCCCAGTCTCCACCCTCTCCTATGACATGTCCTCAGTGTCCACCCTCTCCTATGACATGTCCCCAGTCTCCACCCTCTCCTATAACATGTTCCCAGTCTCCATCCTCTCCTATGACATGTTCCCAGTCTCCATCCTCTCCTATGACATGTCCCCAGTCTCAACCCTCTCCTATGACATGTTCCCAGTCTCCACACTATCCTTTGACATGTCCCAGTCTCCATCCTCTCCTATGACATGTCCCCAGTCTATCTTCTCCTATAACATGTTCCCAGTATCCACCCTCTCCTATGACATGTTCCCAGTCTCCATCCTATCCTTTGACATGTCCTCAGTCTCCATCCTCTCCTATGACATGTCCCCAGTCTCCATCCTCTCCTATGACATTTCCCCAGTCTCCACCCTCTCCTATGACATGTCCCCAGTCTCCACCCTCTCCTATGACATGTCCTCAGTGTCCACCCTCTCCTATGACATGTCCCCAGTCTCCACCCTCTCCTATAACATGTTCCCAGTCTCCATCCTCTCCTATGACATGTCCCCAGTCTCCACCCTCTCCTATGACTTGTTCCCAGTCTCTATCCTCTCCTATGACATGTCCCCAGTCTCCACCCTCTCCTATGACATGTCCCCAGTCTCCACCCTCTCCTATGACATGTTCCCATTCTCCATCCTATCCTTTGACATGTCCTCAGTCTCCATCCTCTCCTATGAGATGTCCCCAGTCTCTATCCTCTCCTATGATATGTTCCCAGTCTCCAACCCCTCTATGACATGTCCCTAGTCTCCATCCTCTCCTATGGCATTCCCCAGTCTCCAACCTTTCCTATGGCATTCCCCCAGTCTGCATCCTTTCCTATGATATGTCCCCAGTCTCCAAACTCTTCTATCGCATGTCCCCAGTCTCCATCCTCTTCTATGGCATGCTCCCAGTCTCCATCCTCTTCTATGGCATGCGCCCAGTATTCAACCTACTACTACGACATGTCCTCAGTCTCCATCCTCTTCTATGGCATGCGCCCAGTATTCAACCTCTACTGCGACATGTCTCCAGTCTCCATCCTCTTCTATGGCATGTCCCCATTCTCCATCCTCTTCTATGGCATGCCCCCAGTATTCAACCTCTACTGTGACACATCCCTAGTCTATATCCTCTTCTATGGCATGCCTCCAGTATTCAACTCTCTATTGTGACATGTCTCCATCCTCTTCTATGACATGCACCCAGTATTCAACCTCTACTGTGACATGTCCCCAGTCTCCATCCTCTTCTATGGCATGCCCCCAGTATTCAACCTCTACTGTGACACGTCCCTAGTCTCCATCCTCTTCTATGGCATGCCTCCAGTAATCAACCTCTACTGTGACACGTCCCCAGTCTCCATCCTCTTCTATGGCATGCCTCCAGTCTTCAACCTCTACTGTGGCACATCCCCAGTCTCCATCCTCTTCTATGGCATGCCTCCAGTCTTCAACCTCTACTGTGGCACGTCCCTAGTCTCCATCCTCTTCTATGGCATGCCTCCAGTCTTCAACCTCTACTGTGACATGTCCCTAGTCTCCATCCTCTTTTATGGCATGCCTCCAGTATTCAACCTCTACTGTGACACGTCCCTAGTCTCCATCCTCTTCTATGGCATGCCTCCAGTCTTCAACCTCTACTTTTATATCAAAAACATCAGAAGCAGAGAAAACTGTAGATACATGACCATATAAGGGGTTTTACCCAAACTCTACAATATTTCTCTAGTATTGTTTCATGTTCTAATTTCCATATTGTATATTATTTCCCCTTCACAGAGAATGAGAAGAGGATCAGTTTGCCGAGGATTCCTACTCAGTAAGGACGATAAAATGATCTGCATTCAATGTGTATTTTACAATCATTTAAAGCTGAACTCTGGGCAGATACAGTATAAAGGGAACAAATAATTTCAGCTCTGAAATCATTAATACATCATGAAATGTATTTTTTTTATAAATATAAGTAGTGTACGTTTCTAAATTTTGACCTGGTATCAACCTTTTGCAATCCTTGTGCAGTGGAGCTCAGACTGGAAAAGGGAGAAGCATCACAAAGAGCCAAAATCATACAATAATTTTACATATAAATAATGACCAGTGTGCGGCCAGCCTGGCCAGAACCTTGATACTTAAATGTGTAGCTTTCTATATGCTCACTAGGTGGCAGTGCAGCACATAGAAAAAAATGTACATTTTTTTAGGCAAAGTTTAGACATTGGACAAGGTTGTGTCGCATCTGGAAATATTCAGATCACTTTTCAGAGGCATTTGACAGGTGGTGGAGCGGTATTATGTTGCCTTTTAGTCGTCCGCTTTAACCTCATAAATGCAACTGTATGCAATAACTTGAATGGGTCGGTGATGCTACTGACAGGTGAATGTGATAGGGATGATTTTTGCTGCGTCCACAAAGCAAGGCATTGCACCTACCTGTGGTATGTGAATACCCACATCTGCTGACTTTGCCTTAAGGTGTGGGTGGGGGCAGTCAAAATGCAGCTCAACCCTGTGTTTTTACCGCCCCCCAGCCACAAGATTAAACAAACCCTTAGTGTTTTTTCTGTATTGTATAGTGACCATATGTCGTATTCTCATGAATAATGCAGAACTCTACATTGCTGTACAGGGATGTCCCCGAGGAGAGGCTGTCACGGCAGGGGAGCAGTTTCGGTAAGTTATCTTGTAGACGGGTTTTCCTTTTCTTTGTCCCACTGACTCTGAGAAGAAGACACATCCATCCTGTGAGATCGGAGGTGACCACTGTATTCAATCTTGTTTCAGAATCTGACATTTATGCGGAGATTCCAGAAGAGTCAGAGCAGAGGTCTGCAGGTACGTACAAGAAATCTCAAACATTGAGATGTATAAATCAACAACTCACCGTGAAAGTTTTACCTAGAAGAGATACAAAGTAAAAGTAGAGAATATAAAGCTCATGGAGGTTCTGGACATAGAAGGGGACCTGGTGTCACAAGCTGAGCTTTGTAAGCTCCAGTCCTGGACAGTGGCCATGTTGGACCTCCAAAACTATGAAAATGTTACATATTAACACATTCTGTTACGGATTTAAATCATTTAACAACAAAAGACATTCAATTCTGTTGTTTTGGAACAGCTTATCAGCTTGACCACAACCCAGATTTTGGTGCAGAACTCGAAGACTCCCTTACACCAAGGCATTGCAAAGAGAGATCAACAGCTCATTCTAATAACACATTTATGCAATGTCATTGTAACAAGTGAAACAAAGAAGCTAACATTAGCATATAAGCACCAAATATATCCTATCAATAGTAACACATATAATATTTATTTTTCTTTATAGTATAGTACCAAATGTAATATTTCTTTTTCTATATAATATAGTACCAAATGTAATATTTATTTTTCTTTATAATATAGAACCAAATGTAATATTTTACCAAATGTAATATTTCTTTTACTTTATAATATTTTACCAAATGTAATATTTATTTTTCTTTATAATACAGTACCAAATGTAATATTTATTTTTCTTTATAATATAGTATCAAATGTAATATTTTACCAAATTAATATTTTTTTACTTTGTAATATAGACCAAATGTAATATTTATTTTTCTTTATAATATAGTAACAAATGTAATATTTATTTTTTTTTATAATATACAACCAAATGTAATATTTATTTTCTTTATAATATAGTACCAACTATAATATTTCTTTTTCTTTATAATATAGAACAAAATGTAATATTTCTTTTTCTTTATAATATACAACCAAATGTAATATTTATTTTTCTTTATAATAACAGTACCAAATGTAATATTTATTTTTCTTTATAATACAGTACCAACTGTAATATTTTTTTTTTCTTTATAATATTGTATCAAATGTAATATTTATTTTTCTTTATAATATAGACAACCAAATGTAATATTTATTTTTCTTTATAATATACAGTACCAAATGTAATATTTCTTTTTCTTTATAATATACAACCAAATGTAATATATTTTTCTTTATAAATATAATATTTATTTTTCTTTATAATATAGAACCACATGTAATATTTATTTTTTCTTTATAATATACAACCAAATGTAATCTTTCTTTTTTCTTTATAATATACAACCAAATGTAATATTTATTTTTCTTTATAATATACAACCAAATGTAATATTTATTTTTTCTTTATAATATAGTATCAAATATAATATTTATTTTTCTTTATAATATACAACCAAATGTACCAACTGTAATATTTTTTTTTTTATAAAAGTGGACAGTTGCCACATAGAATATCCAAAAATATAGACACTTTATACGTTCACTTAAGATTGTGCAGCACATTAACAAACAAGAGACATCAATTTCTGTTTTTATTATTTATTTATTTATTTATCGAGTTTATATAGCGCCAAAGGGTTTGCTCAGCGCTGTACAATAGAGGGGGGGACAATACATGAAACAGAACAGTAACATCAAACAGCACACGAGGGGTTAGAGGGCCCTACTCTTTCGAGCTTACAATCTAGGAGGGAGGGGGTAGTGGTACAGGAGGAAACGGCTGTGGGGGATGGAGTGGTAGGAGGAGGGAAGGGCAGCGGCTGTTAGGTGAGGGTGGGGTAGGCTTCCCTGAATAGGTGGGTTTTCAGGGAGCGCCTGAAGGTGAGGAGGGAAGGTGACAGTCTGATGGATTGGGGTAGTGAGTTCCAGAGGATGGGGGAGGACCTGGAAAGTCTTGCAGTCGTGCGTGGGAGGAGGAGACCAGGGAGCAAGATAGAAGGAGGTCCTGTGAAGAGCAAAGGGTACGGGTAGGGTGGTACCTGGGAATCAGGTCGGTGAGGTAGTTAGGGGCAGTGTTGTGAATGGCCTTATAGGTCAGGGTGAGCAATTTGAATTTAATGCATTGGGCAATGGGGAGCCAGTGGAGGGAGAGGCAGAGGGGGGTGGCAGAGGTGGAGCGGCTGGTGAGGTGGATGAGTCTGGCCGCTGAGTTCAGGATTGTCTGAAGCGGGGAGAGCCTGCACTGGGGTAGGCCGGTGAGGAGGGAGTTGCAGTAGTCAAGGCGTGAGATAATCAGGGAGTGTACGAGTAGTTTAGTGGTGTCTGGGGTAAGGAAGGAGCGTATCTCGGCGATGTTCTGGAGGTGGAGCCTGCATGTGTTTGTGAGTGATTTGATATGAGGTTGAAAGGAAAGGTTTGAGTCCAGAATGACGCCAAGGACTTTGGCTTGCTGGGCGGGATTGATGGTGGTGTTGTTGGTAGTGATGGAAAGGATGGGGGGGGGGGCGCGGGCTGGGGGGAAGACGAGAAGCTCGGTTTTGGAGAGGTTGAGCTTGAGGAAATGGAGCGACATCCAGTCAGAGATGTCGTTTAGGAGGTGAGTGATGCGGGCGGAGAATGTGGGGGTGAGGTGAGGGGTGGAGAGGTAGATTTGAGTATCATCAGCGTAGAGGTGGTAATTGAAGCCGTGGGAGTGTATGAGTTGCCAAGGGAGGAGGTGTAGATGGAGAAGAGAAGGGGTCCAAGGACAGAGCCCTGAGGGACCCCAACAGAGAGGGGGAGGGAAGAGGAGGTGGCATCGTTGTAGGAAACTCTGAAGGAGCGTTGGGATAGATAGGACGAGAACCAGGAGAGAGCGGTGTCTCTGATGCCAAGGGAGAGTAGTTTATTAAGGAGGAGGGGGTGGTCGACTGTGTCAAAGGCCGCGGAGAGGTCTAGGAGGAGGAGGACAGAGTAGTCGCCTTTGGCTTTGGCGGTTAGTAGATCGTTGGTGATTTTGAGGAGGGCAGTTTCGGTGGAGTGTAGGGGACGGAAGCCGGACTGTAGTGGGTCAAGGAGGTTGCTGTCAGTTAGGTGGGCGCTTAGGCGATCGAAGACCAAGCGCTCAAGGAGCTTGGAAGTGAGTGGCAGCAGGGAAATTGGTCTGAGGTTGTTGAGGTCAGTGGGGTCCAGGGAGGGCTTTTTGAGTATGGGGGTGATGTGCGCATGTTTTAGGGGGGAGGGGAAGACGCCAGTAGAGAGGGAGAGATTGAAGATGTGGGTAAGGGAGCAGATGAGGGAAGAGGGGGGTGACCGGAGGAGTTGAGAGGGGATAGGGTCCAGGGGGCAGGTAGTGAGGCGGGCTTCTGAGAAGACTCTGGTGACTTCTGTGGAACACCTTACAAGCTTGACCTTGACCCCCGACTCTCAGTACAGAATATGGAGACTAACTATCTTTACATATTACACATCAAGATATGGCAAGGAAATAATAACAACGTGTATTAAGGCTGCTTTCACACTGATCCATTGTTCTTCTATTCAATTAAATCACCATTAAATACTATGAAACTCTACACTCGTCAGTTGCGGGTCCGTTGCGTTTTTCAAAAACCTGCTTGCTGAATTTTTGGTGCAGTAAAGAAAAATTACCTCTGCATTGAAATGAATGAAAAACGCACCCATGGTTGCATTTTGTTTTTTTCTTAGGTGCAAAACGCACAATGTTTTTACAGGGGAGCAGTGTAAACATAGTCTTATAACATATTCCTGCTGTGTCGTTCTAGCAGACCCTAACATTAGCATATAAGCACCTAATTGATTTATTTCAGGTCCTTGTATACCGCCATCAATTTATGCAGCGCTTTACATAAATAGTACATCCACATCAGTCCTTACTCTCTGCAGAACACTGAGACTGACTATCTTTACATATTACACTTTAGACATTGCAAGGAGAGAATAACAACTCAGTCTAATAGCCCATTTCTGCAATGTCATTGTAGGAAGTGAACAAAGAACCTAACCTTAGCATATAAGCACCTAATATCATTTAACCTCCCTGGCGGTATTCCTGAGTGTAGCTCGGGGTAAAGTTTCAGTACCAAAAGCGGTAACCCTGAGCTACACTCGGGCTTACCATGCGGCGTTGCTCCGGGATCTGTTCTTCACTTACCTTGTCCTGCGCTCCCGCGATGTCCCTCCTGCAGTGTCCCCGGCAATGTCCTCCGGCCGATGCCGGCATCTGTCATCTGGGTTCCGTCCCCTGTGAGCGTCGGTACGTACGGGGGACGGAATGGCGGGAAATTTGAAAATGACAAAAAGTGACATTCACTAAATTCACTAAAATCACATAGTATAACATTACTGTATCAAACCATTTCACATACATTTTGTCCCGAGTGCTTTGTCCTGCGCCCTGCCTGCATTTTTACTGTTCTTTCTGCCTGGAAACTGAGAAATGTCCATGGCATCCAAAAAGCATCCCTTTAGGTCAAAATCGGTTTTAGACCAGCTAGAGAACAGCGATAGTAAATCAGAACCACTTGCAGAATTGAGTGATAATGATTGGTGGGGAAATTCGTCATCAGACACTGAAAACGATTCTGCGACTTGATGTGATGTGCGAACTTGGCGCTATATTTCAAATTTCAGTGTTTTTGGTTTGATTATATTATTGAATTACATTTATTATTATATTATTATTTTTTAAGATTATTTATTAAATTATAATTTATGATTTCGTGTTTCAAATTTTATTATACCCGGGATGTTTACTAGACTCTTGTTCGGACAGATTTCAGTGAGTTATTCCTAAATATTACAGGCCTACAATAAAAAAACGATTTCCATGTAAAAAAATGTACCGCTTTGAGCACAGAAATATGGACATAATCAGACCGCTAGGGAGGTTAATCAATAGTAACTCAAATCATATTTTTTCTTTTTTTTTTTGTAAAAGTGTATGTAAACCCTAAATATGAAGATCTCTTATGTACATTTTGGTGTGTTGATTATACCATTAAAAGCATTTTGGTATATATGTTCAGTAAGTGCAAAACAACCTGCTGATCCTGCCAGAAATCTTAGAAACGGATAACTTCATGGGCTCTCATTGTGCGGTATCAGTTGCATTAATCACAGCGATCTTTGGACTACATTTTGGGGACTGGGAAGGGGGGTGTTCTGTATTTCTAACACACTTCATGTTTTAGGGTGACAACGCTGCTCTTATATACATATAGTACAATGACTGAGTGTTGTCACCCTAGGATGAGAAGTGACTTATTTGCAGGTCCACCAGACGAACATAAATGGGAAAAAAAGAAAAAAGAAAAAAAAATTCCACACCAAATGACTAGCTGAAATATAATATATTTTTGTTCTTTCTTGGGTTCAGATCAATTTTAAATATTATATATACTGTGTGTGTGTGTATATATATATATATATATATAAAAAAATAAAATAAAATATACAAATATATTTTTGTTCTTGGGTATAGAAACGCCTTGAATAGAATATGTGTGCTGCAAAAGGGGCCCAAACCAAGTACTGAGTACATATGCATGCTTCTACTTTTCAGAGGTCCGATATTGTTCTCTGTACAATCCTTGTTTTATTGATTGCATGGAATATTCTCATTTTCTGAGATTGTGGATTTGGGGTTTTCATGAGCTGTAAGCCATAATCATCACAATGATGACAAATCACGGCTTGAACTATCTTGCTTTGCATGTAATGAGTCTATCTCATATATTAGTTTCACCTTTTAAGTTGCATTACTGAAATAAATTAACTTTTCCACGATATTCTAATTTTCAGCTGTATATAGTGTGTGCATATACATACACACACACACTATATATATATATATATATATATATATATATATATAAAATTTATAGTATATTCTATTAAAAGCGTTTCTATACCCAGGAACAAAGATATATTTTTATATTTTAGTTTAATGTATATTATTTTAACAATTATATAAATATATATTGTAAACATATTTACAGTTCCATAGATGTTCCATAAATTGCAAGTGAATTCTGTCTGGTTTTTAGATGTAAAGGGTGCTCTGCTGCCATCTTCTGGTTAAGAGTGGTATTGCAACTCTATCTAGACTTTCTTTCTATTTTAGGCAAGCTAAATCCCTTAGGGGTGTATATATGAAATATTTTCGTAGCAGTTAGCCCCATGAAAGTGCATGTAAATGTATTCTGTGCGAATAGGGGGGAAAAAAAAACGTCCTGTGCTGGCCAAGTGTTGTTCATTGATTTCAAACACAAAAATCACATTTGGTCACTAGATGGCGCTATGTATAATAGGCATAGCACTTAGCGCCATCTAGTGGCAAATTAAGTATTTTCCATTTTAAATTAATGAAACACATTCATCCAGCACAAGTTGTAGCCAAGTCACATTTGTTTTTAGCCCCATGTGCACAAAACAAATGTACATGCACTTTCACTGGGCTAATTACTGTGCATTTATTTTTAAATAAATACAGCATGTCATGCCTCAACTCACTCAGCTATAATGATTATTATTTTCCATACCAACCTATATAGTTTGACAAAGACTGCCAAAAAAGTGCAGAAAAAAGTCACCTGGCTGAAAATAGCTGATTATGTAAAATAAATAAATCCACCAGGATGATGTCAGTGGCATTGACCAATGGAGCTGTATAAGATGAAATGATGGTGGGTTGTTTGTCTGCACAGGCTTTCGTTACGCAATCAGTCGGGATGACGTTGTGCTGGGCAGGATCCTCGGCGAAGGATTTTTTGGAGAAGTGTACGATGGTGTATTTAAGAATCAGGCAAGTATCTCTTTAACCACTTGGGCTCCTGAGGATTTACCCCCCTTCCTGACCAGGCCTCTTTTTGCTACTCCTTTTTTTCACACAAATAGAGCTTTCTTTCGGTGGTATTTGATTACCTTTGCGCTTTTTATTTTTCACGCTATAAACAAAAAAAGACCAAAAATTTTGAAGAAAAACTGTATTTTTTACTTTCAGCTATAAAAAATATATAGTAAAGTCAAAGTTGGTTATAAATTTAGGCCAAAATGTATTCTGCTACATGTTTTTGGTACAAAAAATCCCAATAAGTGTATATTGATTGCTTTGTGTGAAAGTTATAGCGTCTACAAACTATGGTATAGATACTGCAATTTACACCATGTTTTTGCTATACAGCGCTGCGCTAGTTTAACGGACAATTGCGCACGGTCATGCACTACGGTACATAAATGAAATTTACATTCTTTTTTTTCTTGCAAATTGAGCTTTCTTTCGGTGGTATTTGATCGCCTGTGCGTTTTTTATTTTTTGCGCTATAAAAAAAAAAGGCTGACAATTTTGAGAAAAAAAAATATTTTGGACTTTTTTCTATAAAACGTCCAGTAAAAAAAATGTTAAAATCAAATTTAGTCATAAATGTCTGCCAAAATGTATTCTGCAACATGTCTTTGCTTAAAAAAATCCCAATATGTGTAAATGAATTGGTTTACGTGAAAGTTATAGCGTTTACAAATGGCGGGAAAGATACTGGGATTTTTTTTTATTATACTAATAATGGCGGCGATCAGTGACTTATGGCGGGACTGCATCGGACATTCTGACATTGGGGGGAACTGAGTTGAGGTCACTGGCATCCCCAGTGACACCAATACAGTGATCAGTGCAAAAAAAAAAAAAAACACTGACACTGTACTAATGGCACTGAGGAGGAAGGGGTTAACTTTATTATTAAATGAAAGGGTTAACTGTGCTGCAGAAAAGGTGGTTATATTAGCGCCAAGCTGTATTTAAGAGATTAATATCAGCATGCAGAAAACATATACAAAAACTATGCTTCAGTCTTGCACAGTTGTACCGGCTCCTCTCCTGGACTGAAATGGCTTACTCTGATGTCACTGCACACTGTGAGCTTCTCACTATGTGCATTAGAAGCTGCAACAAGCCAGATAGAGCTCCGCCTCATTTCCTGGATGGAGGACAGCCTTACTGTCCCTGGCCCCCCATATGGAAGAAAAATATAATTGAAATATATTTTTAAAAAATTCTTCGCAAATATATTGACATATTTGAAATGCTACAATTTTGGCCATATTGAATATATTTCAATAAATATAATAAATATATATATATATTTTTTACATGTTGAAATTAGTTTTTATTACAAAATATATGAAAATTATTTTTTTAAAACTACATTTCAAATTCACTCTGTGTCTTTAAAAATACAAATCTACATTTTTGGAATGCATTTATAAATATATGTAAAACTATATATGTTAAAATGACCTTTTTATATGTTAAAAAAAAATCTGAAGAATATATTTTAAATATATATATTTTTAAAAATATATATATTTTTTTAAATATATTCTTCTGATTTTTTTTTAACTTATAAAAAAGTCATTGTAAAATATATTTTTACATATAGCTGTAAATGCATTCCAAAAATGAAAGATATAGATTTGTATTTTTACAGATATACAGTATATTTGAAATGTATTTTTTAAAATATTTTTCATATGTTTTGTAATAAAAGCACATTTCAACATGCAGTATGGATATATATATATATAATATATATATATATATATATATATCCATACTACATGTTGAAATGTGTTTTTATTACAAAATATATGAAATATATGAAAAATATTTTAAAAAATAAGCACACAAACACACACATATATATAATGTGTATTTTTTAAAAAATTTTTCATATTTTCATATATTTGTAATAAAAACACACTTCAAAATGTAGTATGTGTGTGTGTGTGTGTGTGTAAATATATATATATATATATATATATATATATATATACACACACACACTGCATGTTGAAATGCATTTTTTATTACAAAATAAATGAAAAATATAAAAAAAAATACATTTTGAAATATACTGTATGTCTTTAAAACTTCAAATCTATATCTTTCATTTTTGGAATGCATTTACAAATATATGTAAACATATATGTTAATATATATATATTTAGTTATTGAAATATATTGAATACGGCCAAAATTGTAGTATATTATATGGTAATATATTTTGGAAAGAATATTTTTAAACTATATTTCAAATATATTTTTCTTCAATGTGAGCCACCCCTTTTATTCACTGGATTTCAGTCCAGCATCACATGTTGGGTAAGCTAGGGCAGTCAGCATGTAAATGTAGTTTGCCAAGGAACGCCCAGACCTCCAGCAGACCGACACCCACTTATATCAAGGCATTTTGGTATTTGCATAACACCTCCCCCCTGCTCTCATCAGGACCAAGAGCTCTTGAGAGCTGAGGCAGGGTGCTGTAATGCTTTCAGGAAATGATGTGCAGCACCCTGCCAGCCCCTCCCACAAGCTATGATCTGCCTGCATTGCATAGAGAAGCACAGAGACCCAGTGATGACATCACCAGGTCTAAAATAAAGTACATAATGAAATCAGGATTTATATTGTCTTTAAACATTTTATTATCCTGTTGATGAGGGGGAGGAGTAAATATAAGTAGAGTAAACGTCAACTTTAATGAAATCTTATTTTCTTATCATAGAAGGGGGAACGGCTCAACGTGGCTGTGAAGACTTGTAAAAAAGACTGTGCTCCGGACGTCAAGGAAAAGTTCATGAGTGAAGCCTGTAAGTACCCCAGTGATCACACTATACAGCATGAACAAAGTGAGCGGCTGCAGCAAGGTGCTGATCTGTGTCAGCTATTTGTGAACACCAAGAACTGCACAGGCACCATGATTTATAGTTTGTGTCATCTCTGATCTTGCATCTCAATGCAGGAAGTAGATGGTGGTCCTGGATGATGCCTGAACAGAGAAGGTGCTGTTCTTCTGGAGAGAAAAGCAGATGAGCTCCATGTCAGGGGGGGAACTAATTACCAGCATGCCTGCTAGTTATGTGATGTTAGATGCAGGGGCGGACTGACTATTTGGAGACTCGGGCACTGTCCGAGGGCCCGGGGTCAGTAGGGGGCCCCATGAGATGCCCTTGGTACCTTTTGCATAGGCTTTTTTGAGTTTGGTCAAGGGCACAGGGGCCCCATGATCCCCTATTGCCCGGGGGCCCCATGAGTTGTCAGCCCTCCCCTGGATACTTCTACTTTCCCCAGCCCATGTGGTTACATCATAAATTTCTGGCTCAGGGACAGTTCATGGGCAAAAAAAGGGACAGAACTCACGCTGAATACCTGTGCGAGAAGCCCTAGGTAGAAGCTGTCGTGTGAAATTTTGGGCTGTGTACTAATCTTCACCAGGGGATGGAAAAAGGAGATTCGACCTATATGGAACTACAAGTCCCAGGATGCATCTCTCTCTGTATCTCTGTACAGAATTTGTATCAATGATCCTTATTCCCTTTTCATAGATCTGATGAGGAATCTGGACCATCCACACATAGTGAGACTCATCGGCATCATTGAACAGGACCCCATATGGATTGTGATGGAGCTGTACCCATTTGGAGAGGTAAGGGTTTATTACAGGTGTACAGACCTGGGAACTCGGCACAGGGATGGTGGGAACCCCTCATAATAAAACCCCTCCTCCCAGCACAAATCCTCACCTCAAATCCCTCCTTCCAGCACAAATCATCTCCCCCAAATCCCTTCTCCCAGCACAAATCCTCACCCCCAAATTCCTCCTCCCCAGCACAAATCATCTCCCCCAAATCCCTTCTCCCAGCACAAATCCTCACCCCCAGATCCCTCCTCCCAGCACAAATCCTCACCTCCAAATTGTTGGAGATACAACAGCATGTACTATATAGTATTGTATGTTAATATCACTTGACCAGTAGATGGCGCTGTACACTAAGGTTATCAGTTGTGCATATGTGTAAAAACTTGTTGGCTCTTCCTTTTCCTTCCGCTCTCTCTTCAGGAAGTAACATGTCTGTTATACATTGCTGAAATGTGCTCTGTATGTTTGTAACTTAAGCCACACAAGTAAAGTCATAATTCTGCCTCATCACTACCAGTGTCTTCTCTAACACATAACCAAGAGGTTATGGGCCCAGCTCCAGACACTGAAAAAAGGAAAACTACAAGCAAGTAAGTGCTGCATTTACAATCCTACCAAATCCTGTGTGAGGAAACAATAGCTGTATCCAATTCACTGAAAGATGGCAAGTGCTTCAGATATGAAGTTTACAATAGCAAAGCTCAACAATACCAACTACCAGCTATGGAAGTTTAAGCTTGAAATGCTGTTATCCAAAGATGACTTGTGGCAGGTACTAGATACACACAGACCCAATGACAACCCAGAAGAATGGGACAGAAAAAACAGGCAAGCAAAAGCAGTCATAAGCCTGTTAGTGGAGGATGATCAACTCATTCATATCATATAAGGAAAGAAAGCACAGCTAAAGGTATGTGAACTGCACTACAAACACTGCATGAACGTGCAAACCTAAACAGTAAACTATATCTGCTGCGCAAACTGTATAAGATGAGGCTGGAAAAAGGGCAGGAAATGGGTGAACATGTAAATGCTATGCTAGAAATTGCGGACCAGCTGGGTGCAATAGGGGAAGAAATAAAAGAGAACCATGTTGTGTCAATACTACTATGCAGCCTTCCAAAATCATACAGTGCCCTTATAAATGCTCTAGAAACTAGACCAGAAACTGAACTGACGCTAGAATATGTTAAGGGAAAATTAATTGATGAATACAGCAGAAGAAAGGAAAATTTGCATAGTGAAGAGAACGAGAGACCAGAGGCAGCTCTGAAGGTGCATGAAGGCAAAAGACAAAGCAAAGAAACCAGGGTATGTTTTCGCTGCAAAAAGGCCGGTCACCTGAAAAAGAACTGTCCAATCTGGAAAGCTGAGCAACGAAAGCGGGAGCTACCCACAAGAGAAAGAGCTAAAGCAGTCATGAAAGAAAATGAAAGTGCATCATGGAGTGGTACTTTTAAAGTGACTCAGAATAGTACCTCACATGGATGGTACATTGATTCAGGGGCAACAAGTCACATGACAAGCGACGAGACATTCTCCACAGAAATTGATTTTAGTGTAAAAGATAAAGTCTTCCTAGCAAATGGGAAAAGTATTACAGCAGAAGGTAAAGGTCAGGGATTTCTGAACTGCAAAACGCCATCAGGGGGCAAGCAGAGCATCCTTGTAAAGAATGTTTCTATATGTTCCAAGCCTAGAAGGAAGCCTCCTATCAGTTAAAACCCTTGCAAGCAATGGACTCACTGTCCAGTTCAGAGGTGATGAATGCACAATTCAAAATGGAAAGCAAATTCTAGCAAGAGGAAGATTAAATGAACATCTGTACAAACTCATCACTGAAAGTGAGAAGGCTAATGCGGCAACTCATAACCCACATGACAAGTGCATCCACCTGTGGCATAGAAGACTGGGGCATCGAAACCAGAAGCTATAAAGGACTTTGCAAAGAGACGTCTATCAGAAGACATGAAAATATTGCCTTGCCACACACTCAGCAAGTGCACATGTTGCATCAAAGCAAAGGCCACCCGAACCTCTCTTCCACAGACCAGTCAGAGTAAAACCATTAAACCCATGGAACTGATACACAGTGATGTGTGCGGACCAATGAAAACCATCACACCTGGCAGGAACAGATATTTACTGACTTTCATCAACGATTATTCCAGGTACACAATAACGTATCTAATGAAGCACAAAAGTGAGACATTAGAAAAACTTCAAGAGTTTGTAGCTATGACAAGCAACAAGTTTCAAAGGAAACCTGGAATAATACGCACTGACAATGGAGGGGAATATATGAATAAAGAGATGGAATCATACCTAAAGAAACAAGGTATTATACACCAAACAACTGTACCATACACTCCTGAGCAAAACGGCATAGCGGAAAGAAAGAATCGCACTCTTGTAGAAATGACCAGATGTATGATTACGGACGCTGGCTTACCTAACAAATACTGGGGAGAAGCAATAATGACTGCAACATACCTACAAAACAGGCTCCCATCAAAAGCTATTGAGAGTACACCATATGAAATGTGGAATGGATCAAAACCTAACGTAGGACATATCAGAGTATTTGGCTGTAAAGCATATGCCCACATTCCAAGTCAGAAACGCTCCAAGTTGGAGAACAAAGCCATAGAAGGCATTCTGGTTGGCTACAGTGAGCAGAGTAAGGGATATAGAAATCCTTTGTCCAAAGACCAACAAGGTCACAGTAAGCCGCAGTGTTTATTTTGATGAAAGTGAAGCACCAGATAATACAATTCTTGAAAAATATGGAGAGGATTTACGTGCTGAATCGGCAAGAGACACTGACCCATGCGAAGCAGGACAAGAGCCAGAACAAGAAGTGGAACTTACAATCAAAGAGCCAATAGAACCCACTGAACAACAAGAAATCAGAAGATCCTCTCGAATAACAAAAGGGATACCACCCCCCGCAGGTTATCATACGCTGCTAAAACACATCAAACACAGGAGCCAACATCCTGGGAAGACATAGAAACTTTGCCGAGAAGGGAAGCCAGTCAGTGGAGAAAAGCAGCTGAAGAAGAAATAAAATCACTTCAAGAAAATAAAACTTGGTCACTAACAGAACTCCCTCCTGGTCGCAAAACCATCGGAAACAAGTGACTGTTGCACTCTTTTCAACTGAAGCGGAATACATATCAGCAGCACATGCATGTCAAGAAGCCATTTGGATTCGTCAACTTCTACTAGACATGGGACTGAATATATCACAACCCACACCCATCTTTGAAGACAATCAGGGATGCATAAAGCTTACACACTCTGAGAAGATTAACCCAAGAACCAAGCACATTGATGTAAGATATCATCTGCTCAGAGACATGCAAGAACAAGGGGTTATCGACATCCAGTACTGCCCATCAGAGGAGATGACTGCAGACGCACTCACCAAACCTTTGCCAAGGGAATGTCATTGTTTTCTACAAAAGAGACTAAATGTTATACAATTATGCACATGCCGTTGAGAAGGGGTGTTGGAGATACAACAGCATGTACTATATAGTATTGTGTGTGTTAATATCACTCGACCAGTAGATGGCACTGTACACTAAGGTTATCAGTTGTGCATATGTGTAAAACTTGTTGGCTCTTCCTTTTCCTTCCTCTCTCCCTTCAGGAAGTAACATGTCTGTTATACATTGCTGAAATGTGCTCTGTATGTTTGCAACTTAAGCCACACAAGTAAAGTCTGAATTCTGCCTCATCACTACCAGTGTCTTCTCTAACACATAGCCAACACAAATCCCTCCTCCCAGCACAAACCCATCTCCCCCAAATCCCTCCTCCCAGCACAAATCCTCACCCCCAAATCCCTCCTCAGAGCACAAATCATCTCCCCCAAATCCCTCCTTCCAGCACAAATCCTCACCCCCAAATCCCTCCTCCCAGCACAAATCCTCACCCCCAAATCCCTCCTTCCAGCACCAATCCTCACCCCCAAATCCCTCCTCCCAGCACAAATCATCTCCCCCAAATCCCTCCTCCCAGCACAAATCCTCACCCCCAAAATCCCTCCTCGCAGCACACATCATCTTCCCCAAATCCCTCCTTCCAGCACAAATCCCCACCTTCTCCTTGGCCCCCTCACGACCCTGTTAGGCCAATTCCCCTCACCCCCCTCCCAGCAAAATTCCTCACCCCCAAATCTCCCTCCCATCACAAATCATATCTCAAAATCCCCCCTCCCAGCACAAATCTTCACTCAAAATCCCCCCTTCCAGCACAAATCTCTCAAAAATCCCCCCTCCCAGCACTACTCTTCTCTCAAAATCCCCCCTCCCAGCACTACTCTTCTCTTAAAATCCCCCCTCCCAGCATGAATCCTCTCCCTGAAATTCCCCCTCCTACCACAACCCCCCCAGTACAAATTGCCCCACCCCAGTCCCCCTCCTAGCAACCCCCCCAACCATCCTCCTTTCTAGCAGAAATCCCCCCCCCCCAAATCCACCCTCCTAGCTCAAATACCCCTCTTAGCAAAATCCCCCTTCCCAACACGAATCCTTGCCCCTAATCTCCCCTCCCAGCACAAATCCTCTCCCACAATCCTCCCTCTTAGCCTAAATTCCCCCTCTTAGCCCTGATCCCCTCAATCAATCCCCCTTTCTAAGGTCCACTCCCCCCCCCAATCAATCCCCCCTTCTAATGTCCTCTCACCCCCCCCCCCCCAAATTCTGGGAGGAGAGTGCTCCTCTATACAACAGATGAGAAGTGATCTCTCTTACATCGGATCGTTCACCAACTCTTTCCTTGGCTGCAAACTATCTCCAAGCAGTAGAACACGTGTGTAGGGGGCGGTCAGTGTACAGTCTAAGAGCCCCCCTATTAATAAAATATTCAGCATGCAGTCCCTTCATCCCAGGGCACTTGATGGCTGTGGTCCTTTCTTCTCTGGTGGTCCTCACCACTGGATAGAGCGTGCGTTGTAAGCAGGGGCGGACTGACAACTCATGGGGCCTCCGGGTTATAGGGGATCACGGGGCCCCTGTGTCCTCACCCACACTCAAACTACACCCAAAAAAGCCTATGAAAGGTACCAGGGGCATCTCATGGGGCCCCCTACTGACCCCGGGCCCTCGGGCAATGTCCGAGTTCCAAAATGGTCAGTCCGCCCTTGGTTGTAAACACTGGGTAACCAGATAATGCTGTAACTGTGATTCTTCCGCAGCTCGGCCAGTACCTGGAGAAGCACAAGAATACCCTACAGGTCATCACCATGATCCACTACTCATTACAGATCTGCAAAGCTCTCGCCTACCTGGAAGGCATAAACTGTGTCCACAGGTAATAAAAGTGTAGAAAAATCAGTTATTTACCACCCTCCAATGGCCATGATGTGAAATGCACAAAAATGGAGGCATCCTATTTTTTTTTATGCATATTCTTGTTACTGCATTGTTATATGATTTCATGGTTTGACATGCTTTTTCCCAGTGCATGCACACATGCTCTATGGACAGTAGGGTCAGATCCTTAAAATGAAATCAACTTGGTCTAAAATCTTCGGGTGCCAGCATGTCCCTGGATTAGAGTTCCAAACTGTGTTCCTGTGGAGTGCCCCTTGGATTCTAGGCTGTGGCAGGGCCAGATCTAGCCTGTCTGATTTGGGGTGCAGTAAAAAATGTCGGGGGCAGAGCATGCAAGGTCAGCAAGGCAATGTATAAGAGTCAGTAGTGCAGTGTACAGGGGGTCGGCAGTTTGTAGGGCAGTGTATAGGGGTTAGCAGAGAAGGGTACAGGGGTCAGCAGGGCAGAGGACAGGGGTTAGCAGAGCAGAGGACAGGGGTCAGCATGGTGGAAAACAGTGGTCAGCAGAGTTGAGAAGAGGGTCACTGCTGGCAGGGCACTTAAGGGATCTCCTCCTCCCCACACAGCACATAGCTGAGATCAGTATCCCTCCATACAGTGTGTAGCTGGCTACTGCAGCTGCCAATCCAATCAGGGAATTGCACAGGGCAGAACTGCAACTGCAGCCAGCTACACATTGTGCAGATTGGTGCTGTGAGGAATCTGATCTCAGCTATGTGTTATGTGTGATCCTGTGTGTTATGAGCGATCCTGTGTAGCCTTCTGTATGGAGGTTCGCTGTTATGACAGGAGGGGGAGACCGCAGAGAGCCCTCATCTCCTCCCCGCTCTATCCTCTCTGCCTCTCCTGTCTGGACGAATTACTTTAAATAACTGCGGCCAGCTGTGGGTGTGTGGGGGAGGGCTCAGCGGGGCACCCAGCCTGGGGGGCACAACTGAAATCTGGGGGGGGGCACAGCTGAAATCTGGAGGGGGGCACAACTGAAATCTGGGGGTGGCACAGCCCACCCCAGCACCCCCCTAGATCCGGCCATGGGCTGTGGGCTTTGACTTTTGGCCAAGTCTACATGAAAGTATACCCATCCACTGAAGCTCAGACATTGGCATGGGAGAACGTGGGGCTCATCAGTGGTTGAGAATGCATCACCATTGAGGCTGTGGTTCCAAATTATTACCTGCTGTAGCAGGGGTTTGCAGGCAATACGTAGGAACAAGAGTAGCCTACTCCTCATATATGGGATGGTCATTATATAGCATAGCATTCGACTGAAGTCAACAAATAAACATTTACCCAAATTGACCAGTAACAATATATATATAAGTGTAGCTGCTATCCACACATTTCACGCCCTTAATAATGGAGGTGACTTGCTTGAAGCTGAAATCAAGCAGAGACTCATTATTACATTCATTCATTGATAAATCCAATAGAGAGTAGCTGGTGGCACACCATGAAGTTTTATTGTTCCAGATAAGTATCACAAATCAGCCTGCTCCATTGACGTACTTCACCCAAAATTGGTTTTGAGTGAAACATGTCAGTAGAGGAGGTCCCAGGTAGGGCTTAATTATGCTTTTTTTGGGAACAATAAACTTCACAGTGTGCTGCTGGATTCTTTCTTTTAAATAATACATATAAATTGACCACTCAGCGATAGTAAAGTTAACCAATCAGAGAATGTTTATGTAACTATAGCCAAGTCTTATCCTATCTTTTAAGACAGTGGTCTCCAAACTGTGATTCGGGGGTCAGATGCGGTCCTTTGCTTGCTTTTATCCAGCCTTTGGGGCAATATTTCATCCAATGATACCAATAACGGAGCATAATTACCCCCACTGACACCAATGATGGAGCACAATTCCTCCCAATGACACCAAGGGTGGGACACAATTTCTCCCTATGATACCAACAATGGGGCCCTATGACACCAATGATGGGGTACAATTCATCCCAATGTCACCAAAGATGGGGCACAATTCCTCTCACTGATACCAACGATGAGGCACAATTCCTCTCAATGACACCAAAGATGGTGTCAATGGTTTTTCCCCCACTAACGTCAGGGCCTTTTTTTTTTTTACTCCCAATAGCTAAAGCCCCCCCGAAAGTCTTAAGGACAGTAAACTGGCCCTTTTTGTTTAGAAAGTTTGGAGATCCCTGTTTTAAGATCACCTCACAGCTTATTAGTGAACATTCAAGGGAATGGGGCCAATCTTACAGTTTGGGCAAAGCCCTAGGTGAGGGTCATTACTAGCTTTTGACAGTATGCATCAAAACCACCCACTTGCGGGTAGAGGACCCACAAGGGAAGAAGTCCCAAAAATAATAATAAAACCAGAATCGGGAACCATGCTGGAATATAATATGAATAAATAAACCGACTCACCTAAAATTAAGGTGGTGTCCTCAGGACCAAGAGAGTATGCATCAACACCACCCACTTGCAGTAGAGGACCCACAAGGGAAGAAGTCCCAAAGAGAGCAATCTGCGGCTTAGAAAAATGTTTATTGAACACTGTAAGACATCAATAACAAAAATAATCCCTCCACCCTACACAAAATTAAAATAAAATGACAATGTTGTCATGTGATAAAACACCCACCCAGGCACTCAGACACACCAACCATACACACTAGTATCTGCATGACATGAAGCTGCGGCTATGTGGGTTGCAAGCCTCATAAAATTGGCCAAATAAATGTCGTATGCAATGTCACTGCAATTAGAAGACAATGTGGAGTTGCAAACTCACAGGGACCCCTGATATGCTGCAAGATGGTCTCATAAGATATGACAAGACTTGGCTACTACCAAAGGCTAGTGAGAACCCTCACCAAAGGCTTTGCCCAAACTCTTAAGATGGACCGCACTCCCTGGAATGTCCTCTCATATGCTGCAAGATGGTCTCAAAAGATATGATCAGACTTGGCTACTGTCAAAGGCTAGTGACAACCCTCATCAAAGGCATTGCCCAAACCATAACATAGGGCCCATTCCCTGGAATGTCCTCTCAAATCCCACAAGATGGTCTCATAAGATATGATAAGACTTGACTACTGTCAAAGGCTAGTGAGGACGCTTACCTAAGGCATTGTCCAAATCGTAAGATGGGCCCCATTCTCTTGAATACCCTCTCATATCCCGCAAGATGGTCTCATAAGATATGATAAGACTTGACTACTTTCAAAGGCAAGTGAGGACCCTTATCTAAGGCATTGCCCAAACCGTAAGATGGACCTCATTCTCTTGAATACCCTCTCATATCCCGCAAGATGGTCTCATAAGATATGATAAAACTTGGCTACTGTCAAAGGCTAGAGAGAATCCTCACCTAAGGCATTGCCTAAACTGTAAGAAAGACCCCATTCCCTGGAAGTTCTTCTCATATACTGCAAGATGATCTCATAAGTTAGAAGACTTGGCGACTGTCAAAGGCTAGTAACATCCCTCACCTAAGGCATTGCCCAAACTGTAAGAGGGGCCACATTTCCTGGAATGTCCTCTTGCATGCTACAAGAAGGTTCAATAAGATATAATAAGACTTGGCTACTGTCAAAAGCTAAATACAAAAAATAATAATAAAACCAGAATCAGGAACCATGCTGGAATATAATATGAATAAATAAACCGACTCTTCTAAAATTAAGGTGGTGTCCTCGGGACTAAGAGAGTATGCATCAACACCACCCACTTTCGGGTAGAGGACCCACAAGGGAAGAAGTCCCAAACAGAACAATCTGCAGCTTAGAAAAATGTTTATTGAACACTGTAAGACATCAATAACAAAAGTAATCCCTCCACCCTACACAAAAATAAAATAAAATTACAATGTTGTCATGTGATAAAACACCCGCCCGGGCACTTAGACACACCAACCATACACACTAGAATCTGCATGACATGAAGCTGGGGCTATGTGGGTTGCAAGCCTCATAAAATTGACCAAATAAATGTTTATGTAGTGTCACTGCAATTGGAAGACAATGTGGAGTTGCAAACTCACAGGGGCCCCTGAGTATCCACAGGTAAAAGGTGTATCAACCAGGGGCGGACTGACCATTTGGAAACTCGGGCACTGCCCGAGGGCCCGGGGTCAGTAAGGGGCCCCATGAGATGACCCTGGTACCTTTTTCATAGGCTTTTTTGAGTTTGGGCAAGGACACAGGGGCCCCATGATCCCCTATTGCCCGGGGGCCCCATGAGTTGTCAGTCCGCCCCTGGTATCAACATGAGTGATCTGGATGATCATAATAATGGCAGTCCACCAATCTGAAGGTATATGTACTCAATGCTGAAAAACATGATCCTGTGTGATGATAGCCCTGCAGTCAAATCATATAAGGTATAGCAAGGATGGCACTGACAACGGCAGATAATCACAGTTAACTTAACAAAATTCAGCATTCACAAACGGCAGCCACAGAAGGCAGTGACCTATGGGTGAGAGTTCGATGGAAGGCAGCCTCACACTACTTGCAGTAGGAAATAGTCACTAGGTGTGTAGCGCTTGGCCGAGAAATCACAGTCCAAAGGATAATTCCAAAATGAACACAACCTGGGCCAGATATATAAGCTCACCACTCCAGATATGGTCACCGATACCGATGGATCCCAGTAGTGCCACTGGTCACGCACTCCATGCGGAGTAATGTGTAGGTAAAACTACTATGGCAGATCCAGTTTGGCGCTGCTAGTTAGAAAATGGGGATGTGTGGATGCCCAGGACGCGGGCGTCACGACGCTGTGACGTCAATGTGTTTCATCCAACAAGTCACGTGAGCTTCTTCAGGATGCTGCAGTACACATATCACCGGTTTATATGGAGACCAATACGTAATTTCCTGGATTAACCCACAGAGGACCGCAGCCTAGAATTGTCACTAAAACATCATGTGATATCACAGTGTCGATTGCATAAAATAGAGAATGAATCAGAATTTAGTATATATAGAGTCATGCGGCATGCTTCAAAACATACTCTACTACTATCAATAATATGCCAGTGGATCATAGTACTGCAAGGAATAACCAACAAAACTATACAGAATCAAAAAATTAAATAAAAGGACCCATAAATATGGCCATCCCCCTTACACAAGGAGAGGATATAAGTTAGGATTCTAAGAAAACCTGTAAACTCAATTCCGTATTAAGTCCCTTGGGTGCCAAAGACCCCAGTGTGAATATCCACTCCTTCTTCCGCAGTAGGATTGTATCAAAATCCCCCCTGCGGTTGGAGAGGTTCAGGGCATAAATTGCCGTAACCCTGAGTCCAATAGGAGAAGAATTATGAAATTTAGTAAAATGTTCAGCAACTGGAGTCTTATCCTGGTTGTTGATAATGCTACATAGATGTTCACCTATGCGTACTCGCAGCTGGCGCTTGGTCTTACCAATATATATTTTATTGCAGGGAAATTCAAGCATGTACAACACACATGTTGTCGCACAATTCATGAATTGCTGATTTAATAAACCTTTTGCCCATCTGCATCTGTAAATCTATCTGTACAGTCAACAAACCTACAAATATGGCACCGTCCACAGGGATGCATACCCCTAAGGGGAGGTAGGTCCGTTAACCAATTCTTTATGGGTGTACTTCTGTATTCTGACTGCACTAGATTATCCCTTAAGTTCCTAGCTCTTCTAGCAACCATTAGGGGTCTGGGGCCAACAATTCCAGATAACTGTGTCAATATGTGCCAATGATTGGTCAGAACCATTCGTACCTCTTCCCACTGGGTGCCATACTGGGTGATGATACGTACGGGTGGGTTATCCTGAGGGGGCTTATCCTCACTATTTGTGTTTAAAAGTGACTGGCGTTGTGGTGTTGAGGCTCTCCTACAGGACCGTCTAATAATACCATGGGAGTATCCCATCTCGCAAAATCTCCCATAAAGATCCTCTGCCTTCAGTCTGTAGTCATCACCACTAGTTCAGTTCCTGCGAATATGCAGGAACTGTCCAATGGGAATCCCCCGTATCAAGAACCGTGGATGTTGGCTAGAGGCTAACAGCAGAGTATTGGCAGCCGTAGATTTATGGTATGTTTTAGTTCTCAAGCTCTTACCATCAATGGAGATCAGAAGATCGAGAAATGAAATCTCTCTATGATCAAAAGTATATGTTAGTCTGATGTTCCGATTGTTAGCATTACGGTCAATCAAGAATTCATGAAGTTCCTGCTCAGTGCCTTCTCAAAGCATGAAAACATCATCAATGTACCTGAGCCACAGGGAAACATGGCAAAGGTACACCGACGAACGATATACAATCTCCTCTTCCCACCATCCAAGATGGAGGCAGGCGTACACCGGTGCCCCCATTGGGGTCCCTCGAATCTGACGATAATAAGTTCCAAGACATTGAAAAGAATTATTGTGGAGAGCAAAATCCAATAATTCCAAAATGAATTCATTTTGTGCTCCCATATTTGGGTAATGCACTTTCAAAAAATGGCTACTGCACCAAGCCCCCATTGATGTGGGATGGAGGTATATAGGGACTCCACATCTATACCCACCAAGATAGTCCCTGTCCAAATCTCTACCTGAGCAATTTTAGTCAGGACATCTCTAGTATCCTGGACATATGATGGGAGCCCATCACCATCTCCTTTATTAAAGCATCAAGATACTTCCCGGTACGTTCAAGGGGTCCCCGTAATGCCGATATTGTGTATCTTAGGGATGATATATATGATAGCAATATTGTAATCATCCACACGTAAATAGCACCATTCTTTTTTGGTGATGAGACCCTCCTCTCAGGCCAAAGATAATTTATAATTAAGAGACAGGACCAACGAGGGGAATGGATTCCCCCCTAATTTTTTGTATGTAGATGAATCTTGGAGTTGCCTCCTAACTTCACGTTCATATGAATCCTCTGACAACAGGACCACATTTCCATCCTTATCACTAGGTTTAATCACTAGGTTGGGTGCTTCCCTGAGTTCTCTCAATGCCAGTCTTCAGATTGGTGGACTGCCATTGTTATGATCGTCCAGATCTCTCATGTTGATACACCTTTTACCTGTGGATACTCAGGGGCCCCTGTGAGTTTGCAACTCCACATTGTCTTCTAATTGCAGTGACACTTCATACAACATTTATTTGGTCAATTTTATGATTTTTGCAACCCACATAGCCCCAGCTTCATGTCATGCTATTTCTAGTGTGTATGGTTGGTGTGTCTGAGTACCCGGGCGGGTGTTTTATGACATAACAACGTTGGCATTTTGTTTAATTTTTGTGTAGTGTGGAGGGATTATTTTTGTTATTGATGTTCAATAAACATTTTTCTAAGCAGCAGATTGTTTATTTATTCATATTATATTCCAGCATGGTTCCCGATTCTGGTTTTATTATTATTTTTGTACTTAGCTTTTGACAGTAGCCAAGTCTTATTATATCTTATGGAACCTTCTTGCAGCATGCAAGAGGACATTCCAGGAAATGTGGCCCCTCTTACAGTTTGGGCAATGCCTTAGGTGAGGGATGTTACTAGCCTGTGACAGTAGCCAAGTCTTCTAACTTATGAGATCATCTTGCAGTATATGAGAAGAACTTCCAGGGAATGGGTTCCATCTTACGGTTTAGGCAATGCCTTAGGTGAGGATTTTCTCTAGCCTTTGACAGTAGCCAAGTTTTATCATATCTTATGAGACCATCTTGCGGGATATGAGAGGGTTTTCAAGAGAATGGGGCCCATCTTACGGTTTGGGCAATGCCTTAGGTAAGGGTCCTCACTAGGCTATGACAATAGCCAAGTCTTATCATAACTTATGAGACCATCTTGTGGGAATTGAGAGGACATTCCAGGGAATGGGCCCTATGTTACGGTTTGGGAAATGCCTTTGGTGAGGGTTGTCACTAGCCTTTGACAGTAGCCAAGTCTGATCATATCTTTTGAGACCATCTTGCAGCATATGAGAAGACATTCCAGTGAATGGGATCCATCTTGGAGTTTGGGCAAAGCCTTAGGTGAGGGTTCTCACTAGCCTTTGGTAATAGCCAAGTCTTGTCATATCTTATGAGACCATCTTACAGCATAACAGAGGACATTTCAGGGGATAGGGCCCATCTTACAATTTGGACAATGACTTACAGTAGATGAAGGTCCTCACTAGCCTAGAGGAAGTCAAGCATACAGTGTCAGCAATAAAATAAAATAATGAACAATTTGAATAAGAACAGGTAAAAAAGAACAACCTCTCTCCCTCTTCAGCTTAGGCAGAAGTCTGGGCCCCTAGGTTCAAAGTGCCCCACTTGAAGACTTGCGCAGGTACTTCACATGGCAACCTCCAGTCTGACCAGTATTTTATTATAATGACTTTTGTTCCACAACAGTTGGTGATAGTAATCAATCAGCACACTGTTATCTGCAAATTATATAATGGTGGCTGTCATATGACTGACTGCTCTGGCCAGCGCATTTATTTCATAGTGTTTTAGAAGAGTTCTGTAAGCCCATGTCTTCTCTTCTCAGGGATATCGCTGTCAGGAATATCCTGGTTGCCGCACATGAATGTGTCAAGCTCGGAGACTTTGGCCTCTCACGATATATTGAAGATGAGGATTATTACAAAGGTCAGGAGACAACTTACTATGGTTTGAAGAAATCTAAGAAAATAGAGAACACCTACTGGTTCACTTCTAGGCTCCTTTAAATGTCACATTGTGTCCCCACTGGAGAGATTCACCCTCTCAATTTGTTCCGTTTGTCACCAAGAAAAAAAGTGTTGGGTATTTTAAAAATATACAGGTGTACCTGGAACAGGAAACAGGGTAAATCTTCCATCAGGGGCATCTGTACTGGTGACATATGCCAGAGGTGGGATTTCCTCTAATTTTGGAACTGTCACTTACTTCCTAATGTATTTCTGGGGACTAGAAGTTAAGGGAACTTAAATTTGAAGTAATTTCTAACTATTCTCTATGCTAATAAAAAAAAAAAATGGATGGAGATGCTCAAACATGGCAGGTGACTCAAAGTTTGGTCCAAACACGTTTAAAATGTGTAAAACCTCACTTCCAGGTCCTGGTATTACATTCCCCAGCCAGTATGGCCAAAGAAGAAGCTAATGGAGCACGATCTGTATTCCATTAACTTCATTGGAGGGCAGGTTAGACATCAGGGTCCCCTGATGTCTTATTAAAGAGAACCTGTCACCAAACGAATATCACATACTGGACTTTTTGTCCCCTGTGTGATGAAAAATAAAAGTTAGTAACAAAAAAAAAAATTAAAAAGAAGTGTAAAAAAATTAAAGTTACATCCAAGCACTTAACCCCCTCCACTCTGAACAACTTAACCCCATCCCCACATACATGAAGGTATAAATGTAAATGGACCCGTTGGAGGGCAGCTACGCACAAAAACATTGATTGTTACATTTCGCCACGCACACCAGGATGAGAGCAATAATTCTACGCCCATTACTCACAGTTAAAGTGGAAGTCCAGCCTATTCCTAACTAAGCTAAATCTGCTCCCACCCTCCTTCCTGGGAAAGGAAAATGTGTATAACATATTCTGAGGCAGGGGTGGACTGACCATTTGGAAACTCGGGCACTGCCCGAGTGCCCGGGTCAGTAGGGGGCCCCGTGAGATGCCCCTGGTACCTTTTTCATAAGCTTTTTTGAGTTTGGGCAAGGACACAGGGGCCCCATGACCCCCTATTGCCGGGGGGCCCCATGACTTGTCAGTCCGCCCCTGTTCTGAGGGTGCTCCGATCAAGTCAAATGACCTCCCCAGCGACAGGCTTCAGTGAAGAAGACAGATCACCAGCAATGGCTGCAGAGCCTTGGGGGCGAGAAGGTGAAGTCACCCATAGGATTACTATGATGCATCTGTTGTCAGCTGTCCCTCCTCTACACTGAAGTCGGCGCTGACAGCTGATCATGTGACCGAACCGCATTGCTTTCACAATAGGTAAGTATACATATCTTCCTTTCACCGGTAGATAGAATAGGGTTTGGATGGGGGGTGGAAACATATTTAGGCTTAGTTAGGAATGGGATAGACTTTCACTTTAACTCTAAACTAATGACCTGTACAGGGGCGGACTGACAACTCATGGGGCCCCCGGGCAATAGGGGATCATGGGGCCCCTGTGTCCTCGCCCACATTCAAATTACAACCAAAAAAGCCTATGAAAGGTACCAGGGGCATCTCATGGGGCCCCCTACTGACCCCGGGCCCTCGGGCAGTGCCCGAGTTCCCAAATGGTCAGTCCGCCCCTGGACCTGTATAGTCGTTTCACAAGCGCATGCAATTCTAAGCCTTGAAATGTTAGGTGTCTATTTCCTTGGTCCAACCCCATCTTATATATTTTATTTAAAAATTGGGTAATATATTACATATGTTTGCCCTAAACTTAACATTTTGATGTATTTTTTTCTAAATTTCATAAACTGTTGCGCTAATATTGTGTGACATAAAAAATTGGAACTACTGCGCTTTTATTCTCTAGGGTATTTGCTTTCAGAAATTATATTATGTTTGGGAAATTTTAAGTAATCTTAAGATATAAAATCATTTTTTAAAGTGTACAAAAAATGCAAAAATGACAAAAGGGTCAATCATTAGTAAAATACATAATAATTATTTTACTTTATCCCCATGAAATAGTCCCTTGGTTGTATTTGCTGCCCCCCAGCCAAAGCTCTCCCCTGAATTTTGCATTGGTTAAAGTAAATCTATTCTAGAACTGTTATTGATTTGTACATAACTTTGTCCCTGTCTTCTTGTCCGTTATTAGTAACGTTAGGTTTAGCTGTCTCTTCTTGTCCATTATTAGTAACGTTAGGTTTAGCTGTCTCTTCTTGTCCATTATTAGTAGAGTTAGGGTTAGATGTCTCTTCTTGTCCATTATTAGTAGAGTTAGGGTTAGATGTCTCTTCTTGTCCATTATTAGTAGAGTTAGGGTTAGATGTCTCTTCTTGTTAGCTATTAGTAAAGTTAAGGTTAGAGGTCTCTGCTTGTCCATTATTAGTAGAGTTAGGGTTAGATGTCTTTTCTTGTCCATTATTAGTAGAGTTAGGGTTAGATGTCTCTTCTTGTTAGCTATTAGTAAAGTTAAGGTTAGATGTCTCTTCTTGTCCATTATTAGTAGAGTTATGGTTAGATGTCTCTTCTTGTCCATTATTAGTAGAGTTATGGTTAGATGTCTCTTCTTGTCCATTATTAGTAGAGTTAGGGTTAGATGTCTCTTCTTGTCCATTATTAGTAGAGTTAGGGTTAGATGTCTCTTCTTGTCCATTATTAGTAGAGTTAGGGTTAGATGTCTCTTCTTGTCCATTATTAGTAGAGTTAGGGTTAGATGTCTCTTCTCGTCCATTATTAGTAGAGTTAGATATCTCTTACTGTCCATTATTAGTAGAGTTAGGGTTAGATGTCTCTTCTCGTCCATTATTAGTAGAGTTAGGGTTAGATATCTTTGCTTGTTCGTTATTGATAGAGTTTAGGGTTAGATGTCTCTTCTTGTCAGTTATTAGTAGAATTAGGGTTAGATGTGTCTTCTTGTCAGCTATTAGTAGAGTTAGATGTCTCTTCTTGTCCATTATTAGTAGAGTTAGGGTTAAATATCTCTGCTTGTCCGTTATTAATAAAGTTAGGGTTAGATGTCTCTTCTTGTCAGTTATTAGTAGAGTTAGGGTTAGATGTCTCTTCTTGTTCATTATTAGTAGAGTTAGGGTAAGATGTCTCTTCTTGGCCACTATTAGTAGAGTTAGGGTAAGATGTCTCTTCTTGGCCACTATTAGTAGAGTTAGGGTTAGATGTCTCTTCTTGTCCATTATTAGTAGAGTTAGGGTTAGAAGTCTCTTCTTGGCCACTATTAGTAGAATTAGGGTTAGATGTCTATTCTTGTCAGTTATTAGTAGAGTTAGGGTTAGATGTCTCTTCTCGTCCATTATTAGTAGAGTTAGGGTTAGATGTCTCTTCTTGTCAGTTATTAGTAGAGTTAGGGTTAGATGTGTCTTCTTGTCAGCTATTAGTAGAGTTAGATGTCTCTTCTTGTCCATTATTAGTAGAGTTAGGGTTAAATATCTCTGCTTGTCCGTTATTAATAAAGTTAGGGTTAGATGTCTCTTCTTGTCAGTTATTAGTAGAGTTAGGGTTAGATGTCTCTTCTTGTTCATTATTAGTAGAGTTAGGGTAAGATGTCTCTTCTTGGCCACTATTAGTAGAGTTAGGGTAAGATGTCTCTTCTTGGCCTCTATTAGTAGAGTTAGGGTTAGAAGTCTCTTCTTGGCCACTATTAGTAGAGTTAGGGTTAGATGTCTATTCTTGTCAGTTATTAGTAGAGTTAGGGTTAGATGTCTCTTCTTGTCCATTATTAGTAGAGTTATGGTTAGATGTCTCTTCTTGTCCATTATTAGTAGAGTTAGGGTTAGGGTTAGATGTCTCTTCTTGTCCATTATTAGTAGAGTTAGGGTTAGATGTCTCTTCTTGTCCATTATTAGTAGAGTTAGGGTTAGATGTCTCTTCTCATCCATTATTAATAGAGTTAGATATCTCTTCTTGTCCATTATTAGTAGAGTTAGGGTTAGATGTCTCTTCTCGTCCTTTATTAGTAGAGTTAGGGTTAGATATCTTTGCTTGTTCGTTATTGATAGATTTAGGGTTAGATGTCTCTTCTTGTCAGTTATTAGTAGAGTTAGGGTTAGATGTGTCTTCTTGTCAGCTATTAGTAGAGTTAGATGTCTCTTCTTGTCCATTATTAGTAGAGTTAGGGTTAAATATCTCTGCTTGTCCGTTATTAATAAAGTTAGGGTTAGATGTCTCTTCTTGTCAGTTATTAGTAGAGTTAGGGTTAGATGTCTCTTCTTGTTCATTATTAGTAGAGTTAGGGTAAGATGTCTCTTCTTGGCCACTATTAGTAGAGTTAGGGTAAGATGTCTCTTCTTGGCCACTATTAGTAGAGTTAGGGTTAGATGTCTCTTCTTGTCCATTATTAGTAGAGTTAGGGTTAGAAGTCTCTTCTTGGCCACTATTAGTAGAGTTAGGGTTAGATGTCTATTCTTGTCAGTTATTAGTAGAGTTAGGGTTAGATGTCTCTTCTTGTCCATTATTAGTAGAGTTAGGGTTAGATGTCTCTTCTTGTCAGTTATTAGTAGAGTTAGGGTTAGATGTGTCTTCTTGTCAGCTATTAGTAGAGTTAGATGTCTCTTCTTGTCCATTATTAGTAGAGTTAGGGTTAAATATCTCTGCTTGTCCGTTATTAATAAAGTTAGGGTTAGATGTCTCTTCTTGTCAGTTATTAGTAGAGTTAGGGTTAGATGTCTCTTCTTGTTCATTATTAGTAGAGTTAGGGTAAGATGTCTCTTCTTGGCCACTATTAGTAGAGTTAGGGTAAGATGTCTCTTCTTGGCCACTATTAGTAGAGTTAGGGTTAGATGTCTCTTCTTGTCCATTATTAGTAGAGTTAAGGTTAGATATCTCTTGTTGTCGGTTATTAGTAGAGTTAGGGTTAGATGTCTCTTCTTGTCAGCTATTAGTAGAGTTAAGGTTAGATGTCTCTTCTTGTCCATTATTAGTAGAGTTAGGGTTAGATGTCTCTTCTTGTCCATTATTAGTAGAGTTAAGGTTAGATGTCTCTTCTTGGCCACTATTAGTAGAGTTAGGGTTAGACATCTCTGCTTGTCCGTTATTAGTAGAGTTAGGGCTAGATATCTCTGCTTGTCCGTTATTAGTAGAGTTAGGGTTAGATGTCTCTTCTTGTCCATTATTAGTAGAGTTAGGGTTAGATTTCTCTTCTTGTCCATTATTAGAAGAGTTAGGGTTAGATGTCTCTTCTTGGCCATCTCTCATCTCCTTTCTTTCTCCAGCTTCGGTAACTCGTCTTCCGATCAAGTGGATGGCTCCAGAATCCATCAACTTCCGTCGCTTTACCTCGGCCAGTGATGTCTGGATGTTCGGTGAGAAATTGGGGGTCAGTCGAAGTGCACGGATCTCTAGCCACTTCTTGGAAGCCCAGAGAGGAGAAAAGACACATGATTCTGAGGGCAGAGGGACTTCTTTGAGTAGTGAAGTAGGGTATGGTAGGTCATTAATGGTTGGGTGGAGTTTAGGGACCATTTGGAGGCAGGGGCCATCAGGAAGGGAATTCACTGTGTGGGATGTAAGGTAGCTGTGGCCAATTTTATTAAAAATGTCAAAAACAGGTTGGTACAGTTGAGTTTTTTCAGGTGAGACGCTCACGGTGTGCAGTGAAATCAGAGTAAGCCATTTCAGTCCAGAAGAGGAGCCGTTACAACTGTGCAAGACTGAGGGGAAAGCTGGAGGTCTTCTGTATATGGTGTAACTCTGTCTCCTATTTCTGTGTGTTTCAGGGGTCTGTATGTGGGAGATCCTCTCATTTGGCAAGCAACCGTTTTTCTGGTTGGAAAATAAAGACGTCATCAGCGTCATCGAGAAAGGGGACCGTCTCCCAAAACCTGAAGCCTGCCCGCCAACTCTATACACGTTAATGACCCGCTGCTGGACTTACGACCTTTCGGAGAGACCCAGATTTACAGAATTAGTCTGCAGTCTAAGGTAATCTTCACTGCAAGGCCTGCCATGAACCAGACCTTATAAAACATGATTTGGAAATTAAAGTAGTGGATTTTACACTTAGTATTCAGAACTTTCTGCAATTTCTCCTGAGTGGCAGGGAGGTTTCAGTGTATTTTTCAAGTGTGCATGTTCAAGATGTTTCTGTAAAAGCTGAACTACAAAAAAAAAGTATAGATTTTATCTACCAAAAAAATGTGTAGTTCTGTTCATCCATCCTGCCATGTACACAGCTCTGCCACACAGCACCACCATGTTTGGCTGGGGAGGAGATTAGATTTTTCTTTGCTGCAGTTCAGTAAGTGGCTGGGAATTCATATTTTTAAAGGTGTTGGAAATCCTGTGCTTGCTGCCTCCTGCACCCACACGGGATCAGCTGGGTTCTGCTGAGTGGTGTAATCAGAAGAGGCCTGGGCGACTTGGAGGCTGCTCAGCCTGGCTGTAAGTGGGGGTGTCGTGGCTCGTCCCCAGTATACATTCACCTTGTCAGTGGCTGTATTGGAGATCGGGGTGTTTCGGAAGGTGAGCATGCAGATCACCCTTCTCTTCATTGACTGTCAGTTGATACGGGCTGCAAGGGCTCAGAATGGTGAACGCCAAGCTGTGCATGGGATGGGGGGAGCGAACACTACAGTACAGAGAAGGTCCCAGCATTCTGCTCTTCTGAACTCCTCCTCAGCTCCTCCTCTGTGTGTTCCAGCACCTGCCACTGAAAATATGGCCCTTCTACTGACCACGAGTGTGTATTGGGGGGGGGAGTGTAGGATTGCACTGCCACTAACACCAATGCTGGGGGCTATTATGGCGGCCATTAACACCAGTGCCGAGGTTTATTATTGATGCCACCGACACCAATGCTGGCAGTTATTATTGTAGCCAATGACACCAATGCTGGAAGTTATTGATTGGCCACGGAAATAAGTGAGAGCACCTATTTTTTCTGGTGTTTGAATGGGCTGTCTAGCTCAGCACACTGCATTGCATATCATTGCATGTAATTGAGTGAGCTTTAGCATGCATAGGTATGGAATAGCAGGATGGCTGAGTGGTTAAGGTGTTGGACTTAAGATCCGGTAGATGTATATCCTCATGAGTTCAAACCCTGGTATGAGCTGCTAACCTATTGAAACAATGTTATATTCACCAACTTCTTAGTCTCCAGCTGTGTGAACAATTCCTATAAAAATAATTAGTATTTACTAGAAGAGTGGTTCCCACAAACCGGGCTGCAGACTGGGGAGCCGTTCTTCCTTTGGGCCCACTATTCCACTGACAACTTCTCCTGGAAATCAATTTCCCACTGATACCAATGATTTGGGGGCTAATCTCCCCTGGGGCCCGCTATTCCACTGACGACAATGATTTTCTCATGGAGACCAATATCCCACTGATACCAATGATTTGGAGGGTAATCTCCTCTGGGGGCCTCCATTCCACAGATACCAATTATTTGGTGGCCATTATCCCATGGGGTCCACTTTTTGACTGATCCCATTGATTTGATGGGCTCTCTTCTCCTGGGGACCAATATCCCATAGATACCAATGATTTGAGGGACTATTCTACCCTGGGGCCCACTATTCCACTCACACCAATTATTTGTTGGCCATTCTCCTCTGGGTCCACTATTCCACTGACACCAATGATTTGAAGGGCTGTCTTCTCCTGGGGACCAATATCCCATAGATACCAATGATTTGGGGGACTATTCTACCCTGGGGCCCACTATTCCACTCACACCAATTATTTGGAGGTCATTCTCCTCTGGGGTCCACTATTCCACTGACACCAATGATTTGAAGGGCTGTCTTCTCCTGGGGACCAATATCCCATAGATACCAATGATTTGGGAGACTATTCTACCCTGGGGCCCACTATTCCACTCACACCAATTATTTGGAGGCCATTCTTCTCTGGGGTCCACTATTCCACTGCCACCAATGATTTGAAGGGCTGTCTTCTCCTGGGCACCAATATCCCACTGATACCAATGATTTGGAGGCTAATCTCCCCTTGGAGCCCACTATTTCACCGATACCAATTATTTGGGGGACATTACCCCTGGGGTCCACTATTCCACTGACACCGACAACTTGATTATGATGCCAGCTGAGATTGGATGTAGAAAGGAATATTTTATGCAGGGAGAAAGGATCTCTATACCATCGAGAAAGGAACTTAAAGTTCTTTTTCTGTGAATAACATGAAATAAAAGATTTATGAGTGAAATGGAACGACGTAGTCCAGTCCTCTGCCGATATGTCTCTACCAAGGTCTCGAGACCACGCCCCAGTAAAAGGAGGAAGTTCGGAGTGAAGTGCACCGTGTAGTACTCTGTAGAGGGAAGTCAAAACATGTCTCAGGGGTATTTATTACATTTTAAATACATATTTTGACGTCCCATGCTCTCTACCGTATTAGTATAAACTTTTTCTTTTTACAGTGAGTGTATTGAAGATTTTGGAAGGATTTGCAGGGCCTGGTCTCACTAAGGTTTAAAATCACTGCACTGGAGAATGGAAGTATAAATATACTACAGTATATAGTATATATATATATATTTTTTTTTATTAAGGTTCCCCAGGGAAGGCTTATCTGTAAAAGAAGATTGTAAATGCTCACCTTTTTTTATGCACCACTGTGGCTGGTCCCTCTCACTGGCCGCCACCTGTTCCAAGCTTTAGTAGTGATCAGCAGGAGGAACCAATAATAAATCAGGAGATCGACACTCTAGGAAATGTCAGTTTCCCAGTTGACCTATAGAATGCATCAGAGCAGTGAGAAACTGAAACATTGTATTCGTCTCTTACATGTATGCTCATCATTGGGGAACTACACTAATAACAGGTGGATCTAAAACCCAAATTTTAGGTTTGTAGTTTTAGGATTTTACAGCTGTGTGCAGTCCCCTTCTGGCAAGATTGATCCTCTTTATCTGTCTTAGTGGTCCCATCACTGGAACAGAAAATAAGAGAAAAATCCAAAATTACTGTAGGTTGTTTCTTGAACAGGGGAGAAATCTCTGAAAAAAAAATGCAGTGACAGCATTTCCTCTCACTTCCTATTGTGTCTGCAAGACAGGAAGTAAAGAGAAATCTTCCAAAATGGACAAAGGTGGCAATAAATAAAAAAAAAAGAATTGAAGTAATTATATATATATATATATATATATATTAGATATTCTCTGTATATATAAGTACAACATATTGCCAAAAGTATTGGGTCAGCCCTTCAAATCATTGGATTCAGGTGTTCCAATCCCCTCCATGGCCACAGGTGTATAATATCAAGCCCCTAGGCATGCAGACTGCTTCTACAAACATTTGTGAAAGAATGGGTCGCTCTCAGGAGCTCGGTGACTCCAAGCGTGGTACCATGATAGGTTGCCGCCACCTGTGCAATAAGTCCATCCGTGACATTTCCTGGCTGCTAAATATTCCACGGTCAGCTGTTAGTGGGCTTATAACAAAGTGGAAGCAACTGGGAACAACAGAAACTCAGCCACGAAGTTGTAGGCCACGTAAAATTATAGAGTGGGGTCAGCGCATGCTGAAGCGCACAGTGCACAGAAGTCGCCAACTGTCTGCAGAGTCAAATAGCTAAAGACCTCCAAACTTGGTGTGGTCTTCAGATTAGCACAACAACAGTGTGTAGAGAGCTTCATGGAATGGGTTTCCATGGCCAAGCAGCTGCATCCAAGTCTTACATCACCAAGTGCAATGCAAAGCGTTGGATGCCTTGGTGTAAAGCACGCTGCCACTGGACTCTAGAGAAATGGAGACGTGTTCTCTGGAGTAACTAATCATATTTCTTTGTCTGGCAATGCAATGGACGTGTCTGGGTTTGGCGGTTGCCAGGAGAACGGTACTTGCCTGACTGCATTGTGCCAAGTGTAAAGTTTGGTGGAGGGGGATTATGGTGTGGGGTTGTTTCTCAGGGGTTGGGCTTGGCCCCTAATTCCAGTGAACGGAACTCTTAAAGCGTCAGCATACCAAGACATTTTGGACAATTTCATCCTCCCAACTTTGTGGGAACAGTTCCAACATGACTTTGTGTTCCTACATGACTGCACACCAGTGCACAAAGCAAGGTCCATAAAGACATGGATGGGCGAGTTTTGGGTGGAGGAACTTGACTGACCTGCACAGAGTTCTGGCCTCAACCTGATAGAGCACCATTAGGATGAATTAGAGTGGAGACTGCGAGCCAGGCCTTCTTGTCCAACATCAGTGCCTGACCTCAAAAATGCACTTCTGGAAGAATGGCCCAACCTTACCATAGACACCCTCCTAAACCTTGTGGACGGCCTTCCCAGAAGAGTTGAAGCTGTTATAGCTGCAAAGGGCGGGGCCAACTCAATACTGAATCCTACGGACTAAGACTGGGATGCCATTAAAGTTCATGTACGTGTAAAGGCAGGCCGGCCGACCAATACTTTTGTGTATATCACAGTGACTAATTTGCCTACTTTTTTGTTAATTTTTAAGGGCATAAAAGAATTTAATCTGGTGTTTTTTTAAAGAGTGCCAAGTTGAAAAATGTAAAAGAAAAAAATATATACAGAATAATATTGATTATTATTTTATTATTTGTATCAGACAAATGCATTATTAAAAATAAGACACACTGCCATCTAAAGGCTCTAGAGGGCTCTACAAGCTGAAAGCACTATTTTCTGAATGAAGCCTTCAGCTTTCAAGTGATCATTATGTTATAGGTGACATAGAGATCACATGTTCAGTTAACATGCTGATTAGTCGCTAGCGTTGACAAAGCTGTCAGTGGTGGTAGGACAGTATTGGTTGCTATCTGTCAAAAGGAGGACATTTACAAACGTTTCCTCAGCCTAGGGCAGTGATGGCGAACCTTTTTGAGCCTGAGTGCCCAAACTGCAACACAAAACCAACTTTTTTATTTCAAAGTGCCAACACTGGAATTAATCACTTGCCTACCGGGCACTTCTACCCCCTTCCTGCCCAGGA